AATTATTCATACCTAGAGGAAAGCAATAGCTTTTGGATTCCCTACAATGCAAACATAACAGGTTTATCAGGAGAAAGATTTATAGAGCAATATTATCCCCTGAAGGGTTGGCATAGATGATATGGTATTTTGGCCAATGTTTCTGTAATGAGGGGCAACCTTGGTATAATGATTTATATATTTACAGAGCCTGGGGATTAGAGAATATCAGTGTTCCCCAGTTGGGAAAGTGGCCTCATTAGAAAGAATATGCCTCTGGACTTCAATGGCTATTTTAGCGTATTTTATTGAGTTTACTGAGGCCTGTCAAGCCAGCTCTCTGTTAAGACATTAAAGGGGGAAAGAAAATGAGTCCATGAGGCTATCCAACTTATTTCTTATAAATTCACCTGCAGCTCCTGAGAGCTTAATAAATGTATGTATCTCTATTGGTTCTGATTGATACCCATTAGCATTTCCTTGGAATGGCAAAATTTCTGTGCTGTTGTCTAAGAATGTCTGGGGTTGGAATATCAATCCATGTAGCTAAAACAAATAAGAAAGCACATATCCAATACCATAGAGTAAGTGACATATCCAGTTCACCACTATGAGTCAATGCTTAGAAGAATTTGGAAGACTGCTCACTAACAACTCTTTCAGACTCTCATCCACCAGATTCATTTATCACTATTGAATCAGTCAAGGTTCAACCATAGATACAGAATTAGCAGGAAATATTTATTTAGAAATGTATTGCTAAAAGAATTGGCTTATGCTTTTAAGAAACCAGCAAGTCAATTCTAAAAATCCACAAGGCAGGGTGGGGCGAAGGACAGGCTGGAAGCAACTCAAGCATGAGTTTATGCTGCTGTTCACAGGCAGAGTTTCTTCTTTTGGAAAGCATCTTCTCTTAAAGCCTTTCAGGTGTGATTGAACCAGGCCTGCACAGTAATTTGGGGTGATCTACCTTATTCAAAATTAACCAACTGTGGACTTTAGACATATCTACAAAACACACTCATTATGACAACTGGATTAGTGTTTTATTGAATAACTGAGGACTAATTGTATCCAAGACAGTTTGATATAGAAAACAGACCCTAAGCCTATATTAGTCATCCTCTGATTGAATGCCAAATTACTCCAAAACTTAGTGGCTTAAAACAACATTTATTATCTTACAGTTGCTGTGGGTCAGGAATCCAGGCATACTTAGGTGGACACTGCAATCATCTTAAGACTGACTAGAAAGGATCTGTTTCTTAGCTTATTCACATGGCTGTTTGCAGGGTGCAGTCCTTCATGAGTTCAACCAAGACCTCAGTTCCTCATGAGTAGTTGGCTGGAGGTCTTCCTTAGTTCCTAGGTACATAGATCTTGTCATAGAGCATCTCACAACAAGGCAACTTGTTTCATCAGATGAGCAAGAGAGTACCAACAAGTTACACTTCTACAACCTAACCATGGAAGTGTCAGATCATCACTTCTGCTGCATTCTGTTTGCTAGAAACAAGTTACTAGGTTCAGCCCACACTCAAGGGAAGAGGATTACAAAGGAGTGTGAACACCAAGAGACAGGATCATTGATAGCCATGTCAGAAGCTGCCTGCTTAATCCCAGTCCAATCCATTACAGTCTTGTCACCTCCTCTTGGGGAAAATCCAGTTTGGTTGTCCTTTTCCCATGATGATGAATTCTGTGTTGACCTCTGAGAACAAGAGAAAATTAGCCACTGGAAGCAAAGTCAGCCTCTAATTTCATAAACTAGTGTTTTTATCAGATTAATATGATCTGTACTTTGCTGAGGTTACAGGAAATATATTCTTTTACTGTAGTAAAAGCCAGTTTTATATCCACCAAAATACTGAGGTCAGAGCAAGCATACCTACATAAGTATACTTTTCTTTCACTTCCCTTCTTTCTTCCACTCCTGATTCCTTGGTGTTTGGGAACTCAATCAAGGTAAATTAGGATGGCTGTTTACAGCTTATAAGTATCTGAAGATAGTCAGACCAGACAGCCCTGAAGAAATCTCATTGGGAAGACTGGTAGAATTTTTCATTTGAAGTCCTAGTCCTTATAAATGATTTTCTTACTGTGGTAGATTTGCTTATAGATTCATAAGCTATAATAGAGACGATGGTCACATACACCTCACCTGCTTTGTCAGTTCCCAGATGGTTTCTTTAGATGCTATCACTCATGTTTATATATGTGAGTAAAATAAGATTGAAATCACAAGTTATATTTTCTGCATTGGAAACACCATATAGAGACACTTGAGTATGGATTTATCTTTAGTAATCCGGTTCTGAGTGACCCAGTAGCCTGACCATTACAGTTAAGGTATTAGTGTTGTCACATGAGCCAATATAAGTGTGTTTCACTTTCAAGGTATTGTATCCCTTCCAGGATGCCCTTTTGAGGTTCACCTCATCCCACAGAGCATCCAAGGCAAAGACCAATTTACATCACTACAACAGATGAATGCAACATTCCACTGGATTTGCCCAACCTGGGGCAGGCTATTTTATCAGTGAACTATGTTGTCTTTTCATGTATCAAGTCTTGTAAGCAAGGCACTCATTGAGTCAGTAGTTTGGGTAAAGTCGTAGATAAGTCTAGAGCAGTGTTTAATGCAGGGGTTCTCAAACTTTTTCAGTTCATGATGCTTAGTCATAATTTTTTTCCATGTCCCTAGGTTAAAACAAATACACAAGAGTTCTGTTTATTAAGTAAATACAAATAACTCAGTAAGTATATCCTAATATTTTAGTAATTGTTATAAAAAATGCTACACTTACTTTTTCAATAAAGTGTGATTATTTCATTCTTTACCACACTTAACTTGCTGATGGAAGGTATGTGCCTGTTAGACACTGCACACAGCTTCTCAGATCTTGGAATCAGATTAAATACTATCTTATTTCATGTTCCACATTGTTTTCCACATATACTTGCCTTTTATCACAATTGCTTAAGACCCAGCTTTGCGAATATATGATGACATCAAACAGAATGTAACATGATAGGTAACATTTAACATATAACTGAAACTGCCTTCTACCCAAGCTAGTAGTTCACTCAGTGTCCAGACAGATAACAAGTGTGACTGTGTTTCTTTTGAAGCATTGAAATATCCTTTGGTAGCATTCGGAGTATCAAACATTTTAAAACTAGAGTGCTAGGCAAGCACTCTACCACTGAGCCACAACCCCAGCTCTGCTACAGGTTACTTTCTGACCATAAATATTAGTAGGTACTTTCTAGTATTTCATTCAAGTACTATCATATTCTTTTTTGCATAGCCTCTTTCATTCTGCTTAATAATAATTGTGAGATTATTCATGTTGCTGCATATATCAATAGTTCCTTACATTCTATTATAGAATACTGGAGACAACACAATATATTTGTATACTCTCAACTGTTGAAGAAAAGTTAGATTGTTTCCACTTTGGGGCTATTACAAATAAATCATCTGTTAACTTTATAAGTCTTTGTATGGATATATACATACATTACCATTCGATAAATATCTAGGAGTATGTTGGCTAAATTATATGGTAGGTATTTGTATAGTTTTGAAAGAAGCTGCCAAAGTATTTTTCCAAAGTAGTTTTACATCTTTACCAGGACTAAATAAGAGTTCCAATTCTACCACATCCTTGCCAACACTTAGTATGCTATGTCATTTTCATTTTTATAGTTCCAAAAAGATATGTTTTTTAACTTGCATGTTCCTAATGAGTAGTAATGTTGAATATCCTTTCATGTATGTATTTGCCATTTATATATATATATATATATATATATATATATATATTAAGTTAAGCATCTGTTCTAATATTTTGCCCGTTTTTAATGGGGTGGCTTGTTTTCTTACTGTTGCTGGAGTTTTTTATCTATTAAAGATAGAAGATTTGTGTGATTGTGGTTTTCATCGAATTTTGGGAAGTTTTGGCCATTGTTTCTTCAAATATTTTTTCACTCCTCTTTTGTTTTTCATGTATGCTGCTGAGGATAAAATCAAGGGCTGAGTGCATGCTGAGCACTCATTCTACCTCCAAGGCGCACCCCAGCCTATTCTCCCCTTTCTTTAAGTGATTTATTTACTTATTATTTATTTATTTAAAGTGAGCTTCTTGAAGTTGTTCCATAATTCAGTGAGTCTCTATTGTTTTTTAGTTTTTCCTTTCATTTTAGATATTTTCTATTTTTATGTATGTGTACATGTATTCTGTTGCTTCTGTAAAAAAATTACAAATTTAGTGGTTTAAAACATCAAAGCTTTATTATCTTAGATATTTATTATATATAAGATATATTATAAATATTCATTATGTAAATTATGTATTTATTTAATATTTATATATCATTAAATTCTGTTATTAATGTCTGTTATATTGTTTTATATATACCTATATATGATTGTTATTTATTCTGCATTTCTGCAGTCTGACATGGATCTAACTGAGCTAAAATTAAGGTGTTGGTAAAACTGCATTCCTTTCTAGAATCTTGGGCAAGAATGTTTCCTTGCCTTACTTAGCTTTTGACAGCTACTTGCCATTCCTAAATTTGTGGCCTTTCTTCTTCCATCTTCAGAACCACAAACAGTATGTTGAGCCCTCTTCACACTGCCTCTCTCTGATGCTCTCTTCTTCCTCTCGTACTTTTAAGGATTTTTGTGTTTAGACTAAGCTCACCTGGATGATGCAGGATAGTTGTCCTCTCTGAAGTTCAGCTAATTTGCAGGATTATTTGCACTACAATCTTAATTCTCTTTTGCCCAATAAAAGATACAGACTTATCTGAAATTGAATTCCAGAAAAGTTAGATATTTTGTCAAAAGTTATATAGTATTCAGTGGCTGTTCTAAGAACACATTTGCATCCCACAAAATTATGGGTCTATAGGCTAAGAATTGACAGACTAAATTATCAATAGCCACTGATCAATTAAAATTTTTACTAGTTTAGATTATATGTAACAAAGCTTTAATCTTTTTGTTTCAGGACTGAAAACTGAAAGTTGTGTCGAGAACTTGGGTAAGATACGCTTTCAAGTGTTCTCTCTAATGGAATTTCGTCAGTGTTGTTTCTCACAAGTATGAGTCAAATCCTTCCCACCATGGTGCTCCTGTTCTGTCCACCATCATTTTCTCAGGTGGTGAGCTCCACCTTTACTGTAACTCCCCTCCCCAGCTCCATTCTTGCTTTTTTAAAAAATATTTATTTTGGACACAATATCTTTATTTATGTGGTGCTGAGGCTCAAACCTAGGGCCTTGCATGTGCTAGGCAAGTGTTCTACCGCTGAGCCACAACCCCTGCCCTCCCATTCTTGCTTTTGCTATTCTCTCAAACACTGCCTTGCCTTCAGGCAAACAGGGAACAGGCCACTCACCCCAGCTTGTCCTTATGGGAGCCTAAGGACTCCAGAGTGCGCCTGCATCTCTAGTCACTGCCCATCTGCAAAGAGCTAAACTTCTCCCATTCCTGATTCTTAGGAAATAACATTTGGAAGACTAATGAATGGAGTGAATGACTGAAAGGGAAAACATGGGCTGACAGAACAATAGTGAGGTGTTTCCGCTTTGCCATGAAAAAACAGGATGTAACAAAAAATGTTTCTTAGAAGAAAGTCAGGAAAGATTTGGGAAGGTAGACAGGAAATTCTAAGAGTATTCTTTTTTTTTCTTTTTCTAATTTTTTTTAGTTGGACATAATATCTTTATTTATTTATTTATTTATTTATTTATATGGGGTACTGAAGATCGAACCCAGTGCCTCGCATGTGCCAGGCAAGCGCTCTACCACTGAGCCCCGGCCCCAGCCCCCCCAAGAGTATTCTTGAATGGCATTATTGAAAGTCTAATAGATTTGAACCAAAGTTGCCAGAAAATGTCTTGTACCTGATGTATCCTGTCAGTGGGTCCTTTTGAAGATTTCCTTATTAAAAGTTTTGAAAACAAGGGTCCAATTCTAAATGCCCTCCTGGCTACTTTTTCTCTTCTTTGTGTAATTAAAAAGAACCCACATCCATTTGTCTATTGATTGAAGTCTTACATTTCTTATAATAACCATGTTTTATGTTTCTTGAAAGTAAGCCAACTCAGATCTTTATATTTTTAGTAATCATTTAAAGATAGACTGAAACTGACATTCACATCTGAGTAGAATAGCAAGTAATGAAAACATATTTGTATTTCAGAATATTTTCAGCCCATCTACATCTACAACCCTAGTGAGTATGCTCTTAATTTTAAAAAATAAAATTATAATATAAAGTTAACATAAATATAAGAATGTTTAATGGCTCTTTCCAGTTTAGCAAATGAAATCTTAGATGAATAAAACCTATTCTGGGGAAATTTACCTTCCTCCAGGGAGAGAGAGTTGGCTCTGGAGATCTGAATAATATAGAAACTTTCTGAGGAATAGGGTGATGAGATCTGAAAAGCTAATTGCTCAAGACCTGGTCTGGGAGGTTTGTGAGCTGTAGCTCTATATTCAGTCATTGAGATTAACTTGTGTGAAGCCAACATTCAAATGTAAGTAGAAAACTATATTTGCAACTCTAAAATATACTGACACGTGATATGTCCACCGAGAATAAAATCTAAATTACATTCATTCGGGACTAATGGGATCACAAACCAGGAAAACAGATTCAGGCAATCTTGAAAATGTGCTCCAGGGTTTTATAAAATGGCAGCTGAATTTATAGCTTTAAACTGCAAGAAGGGTGAAAATTAGAAATACTTGTTAGGAACTGTGATTGGTGTTTTATAATCAGACTGTTTTGTAAGAGAGGGAATGGGCATGAAATCTCTGGGTAGTTTGGGATAAGGGATACCTTAACAGAAGGTCAGTAGAGGTTAACAGTGTTTCAAAGGTCATCTCAGAGCTAGGAGTGGGCATGTCTGCACTCCACCTGGGATCTGATTCATGGCTTCCCGAACTCCATTTTAAGTGCCCCAAACCAATGCTACTCCATTGTAATTTTTTGCCCCTGGACAAGTATTGTTTGACTAAAAATATCCAGGTGATTATAAATTTTTTTAAGTTTCCATTAATGGAGATACAATAAAATCATGTCTTTGTATTTACATTCCTTGTGTGTTTGGCCCGTGTGGCTACAATAAGTTTATCTTGAGAAAAATTCACCCTTTCCTTAAATATGTCATTTATTTCATATTCTGGAAGATACTTCCTGTCTTTTTTTTATTGTTGGTCGTTCAAAACATTACATAGTTCTTAATATATCATATTTTACAGTTTGATTCAAGTGGGTGATACTTCCTGTCTTAATGAACTTGACAGACACATTCCTTTTTGTCTTTTTTGTTTTGGGGGTTGAACCCAGCTATACCACTGAGCTGCATCCTCAGCCCTTATTATCTTTTATTTTGAAAAAAGATTTGTTAAGTTGTTGAAGCTGACCTTGAACTTGCTATTATCCTGCTTCAGCCTCCCAAGTTGCTGGGATTACAGGTGTGTGCCACCATGACTGGCAGCAACCCCTCTTAAATGGCCTATTACAGTCCCAAATTCTGGTCACTTCACAGGGACCTTAGCTAACAATTCAAAACAGATATTTTCCTGCTTTCTTGAGACTACTTGGATATATATATATATATATATATATATATATAAAATATATATATATTGGTTTTTGTTAATATAGAGGGCCAGAGAGCCAAGTTACATTTAGTTTCTGGCTGACACTAAAATTCAGTGGCAGTAGTTACGGATATACCAAGGAGTTCTTTATAGCCATACTACCATGAAAATAAGTTTGTGTGTGTGTGTGTGTGTGTGTGTGTGTGTGTGTATTGCTGAGGATTGAACCCAAGGCCTCATATGCTAGGAAGATGCTTTACTACAAAGCTAATTTTGGATCTTGTCCAAAATTTTTAAAATTTTTATTTTGGACAAGGTCTTGCTCAGTTACCCCATTGATCTCAAACTTGTGATCCTACTGTCTCAGCCTTCCTTGAAAATAGTTATGTTGTAGCTTTAGTAAGTCCTATTTCTTTTGATCTCTTGTTATTTATATCAATTAAATTGATTTTTCTTTTTTTGTAATTTAGGTAAAGAAAACCAGAGTCTTGAGGACCCTGGTAAGACACTTTCATGAACTCTGGGGGCTTTCATTTTGCAGCAGTTCACTTTATGGGTGTGAGCAGGCAGGCATGTTGTATAGCAAGGAAGAATGGGAAGAAAGCAGTGCCAGCCTTAGCACTGCTAGTGCCTTAGTTTGGCATCTCTTTATAAAAATGACTCAGCAGTTTTGTCTCTTGTCTAACAATCTTCAGGCAATTCCTGAAAATAGAGAACATTTGTTACATGAACTCTTGTGACTGGGAGTTTTGGATGGGCATAACAAATAGCATTACGTTTTTTCTAAATGAAAATGATGATTATTTATTTCTGTCTCTAGCAGTCTCAATAATAGATGCTATTAGCTATAGCCATTTGATTATTAGTACATGCCACAGCATTATCTCCAAATTTTTATTTTATTTTAAATGTTGTTGCTGTTATCATTATTATAATTACTATTATTCTGGGGATTGGATCCAGAGCCTTTCTCTAGGCAAGTGCTCTATCACTGAACTATACTCCCAGATCTTTTATTTTTATTTTGAGACAGGGTCTTGCTAAATTGCCTAAGCTGGCCTTGAATTTGCAATCCTCTTGCCTTAGCCTTCTCAGTATTTGGGATTATAGGCATATGCCACCACACCCAACTGTTTTATTTATTTAATTTTTTTTAAATAGGGGATTGAACCCAGGGATGATCTGCCACTGAGCTACATCTGCAGCCCTTTTGTTTAATTAATTAACTTTTAAATTTTGTGGACAGGGTTTTGCTAAATTGCTGAGGTTGCCCTGGACCTTGTGATCCTACTTCAGCCTACTAAATTGCTAGGATTAGATGCGTGTCACCATGCTGGCTTATTTTTTAATGATATTATTCAGATTCTCTTAAGAGTCCTGGGAGAGGACTCTATTTTTATAATTTTCTAGTGAGATTATAAATTAGAATGACTTCCCTTTTCCTTTTTTTTTTTCTTTTGGGGTTCTGTGGATCAAACCTAGGGCCTACTGCATGTTTGGCAAATATCCTACCACTGAACTACACCCCTGAGCCCCTGAAAAAAATTTTCTGCAGGGTAATTTAATAGTATGTATATTACTAGCCTTAAAAATGTTTTTATCTTTTTATCCAGTTATAACACTGTTGGTATTTGTCCAGAGAAATTAGAAATAAACGCAAAAAATTATGTACAAAAATATTTCATCACAGATATTACAGTACCAAAAATTTAGAAACATTCTTAGTGTTTAGCAGTTGAGTGTTGTTAAATAAATTATGTATACATTATGAAACACTAAGCTTAAAATTGTTTTTAAAATCATTTAATGATATAAGAAAGTACTCCCAATTTAATGTAAATAAGTAGCCTGCCCAAAATTATAGAACTAATAACTGTAATGACAGGAGCTAAACCAAGCAGAGACTTCAACCCATTAATATTTCATTTAAAAATGGTTGTTATAGGGACTGCCTTATGAAGATGAGGTGGAGATATAAGGGGTAGATCATGGTAGTTCTAGCTTAAGGAGTTTGGACTTCATCCTGTTGGAAAGTGAAAAAACCATTGAAAAGGTGCTTTTTGTTGTGGCTGTTTTCTTTCTTTTTCCATTCTCTTCCTTCTCTTTCTTCTCCTTTTCTCTTCTTTCCCTCTTTTTTTTCCTCGACTGCTGTTGGGGGAAGTAGTAAAAGGATAGGAACATTAACAATGCAAGGTAATTAATTGTCACTAATCAATAATCATTCCTTCCTTTAGGTATGAAAAGCCTTGAATCCACTGAAATACCTGGTAAGATAGTTTTCTGTTGGTCTGAACCCAAGTATGAGGTGAGAATGGTTACCTAGACTAAAGAGAATATTATCATGAGGCAGTGTTCACTAATATTCCCTTATGACTGCATCAATCACCTACAAAAATGTGCCTGGGACGAGGGTTAGAGAAAGTGCCTTTCCTCTCCAGCGTTCTTGTGCTCTTGGAACAGTCTCCAAGACAGGAAGTTAGCTGTGTTGGGATCTTGGCTAAGAGCAAAGTTGCCGGAACCTGGATGCACTAGGCCAGCACCTTCCAGGTTTTACAGCTAAAGTTACTCAATAGAAACTTCAGCTCTTTCACAAGCTGTTAGTTTTGGTTAACAACTCATCATGTGGGATCTCCAGGTTACAAAACCCAGTATTTTCCTGGCATGGACACACACTGAGTGAAGTGCTATGAAGAAAGCTCCTCTAAGCTTGGTGTAGATTTGTACAATAAGGATTTAAGGAGCCAGAATTTTTCAGTCAAAACCCAAAAACTATAGTGCAGTCAGACCTTTGGGGCTCATATCTCTTGAATACATCAGACCAGAATTTGAAAATCGTATTCACTGGCACAAACTGAAAGTCACTGAAAACACCTGTGATTCCACAAGTGTGTTCTTCCAGCATATTTACCATGACAGATTTAACATACCTTGAATAAATAACCTTTATAAAAATGAGCATTTTTAACGTGAGAGCTGTAACTGAGGGCAAGGCTATTGAGGGACCTTGAGTTTCTTGGCCAGAGAAACTGAACAGTGACTCCAGTCCCATTTTTCAGAAGAACCTCAGAACTTTATGTGTACAGAACTTTATATGTACAGGGGAAGAAAAAAGCTCCTCAAATTAATTTTTTCCTGAGATAATAAAAAAATGGACATATCATATTTTGCCAGAGAACTATGATAGTAATGGCACTTTTATGCCTCAAAATTGTCATCTTTCAAGTGTCATATTTACTTCATAGGAATATCTGTAAGGACTATCAAACCATAAAATCTCAGATGCCATCCCCTATCTAATGTTTAAAATCCTTTTTCCTGAGTTCATTATAGTGCTTTAAAAAGTGTTTTTTTGTGTGTGCATCTACCAAAAAAAAAAAAAGTTGTTTTTAAAGTTGTTTTTTTTTTTTTTAATTAGGGCAATGGTAACCTGTTAAAGAAATTAGATTTTCAGCATCTGCTAAATTAAATCTAACCACATAGTACTGAGTGCTGCCTATGAAAACTGCATGCCATGTGCAGAAACAGCATGGTCACAGTTCAGTTATGGATACAGGCTCAGAAAGCGGGCTCAGCAACTCTTTTGTACTAACCAAGATTAGCATTGATGGATTTGTTTGGCCACAATTTGAAAGTGAACCCCTAGTGATACTGATGACACACTTCATCCGTCCTTATCTCTTCTACTGTGTGGACCTGAGTTTGTCTGATGCTTTCGTCAGGGTCTGATAGTAACACTGTGGTTGTTTGAAAGATGGCCACTGAGCAGGGAGTGGGGGTTGAACATGGGCTGTGTAGACCGACATACCTAGCTTCAGGAAGTCGCTCCTCTGCCACTTTCCTTTAGGTAACTTTGTATAAGTTACTTAATTTTTGTGGGCCTCTGCTTCTACCTGTGTGAGATGAGGATACTTCAGTCTTTTGGGAGTAAATTAGGACCTAATGAAGTATAAAATACATGATAAAATAAATAGTAATAAAATAGTAAATAATCATTAACTGAAAATATTTTTTTCACTTAGGAATAAAAGTGGTAGAACCAGATGAAATAAAAGGTAATAAATTCTATATTGGGGGTGAAGGCACCATGCGGTTCTAAGTCCTTCACTGTAATCACTCAGTTATGTCAGGCTTAAGGGGGCCTAGGGAAGATATTTGGGCTCTACAGTTTCTGACATCCTTCTCTGAATGGCAGAGGAGGGGAAGGTTGAGAACTTATTATTGTGAGCAGTGGGCTGCTATTAAGGTTCTCTGGGCCAAGAAGAAAAATGATGCTTGACCTGAAACTGGAACAGTTACTGTCCAGCTGGGCTTTTCTGTTCCAGAATGAGGCAGGAGGCTTTCCAGAGTGAACTGGAATAGGGAGGGAATCTGAGGACATAGGAATAGCATCATCAAAGAACTGTGAATGACAACTATGACATATTAACATTGAGCTCCTCACTACACTCTCCCTTATTTCACAAATAGGACCCTGGGTTTTGCTGAGACTGTGTTGGATTGTGCACTCTCCTTTAAAACTATGTACAGTGCAGCCTTTTTAAAAGGCAATGTCAAAACAGTTCACAAGTTCTCATTTAATCCAGTGTCACTTCAAAGATGAGGAAGTGGAACATAGGAACAGTGAAAGGCTAGAAAGAGACAACCATGACTCAAACGTTTCAAGTTTTGTTCACTTTCTGCCACTTGACACTTGTCTTCCAGACAGATTTTGATATACACCTCTATTCTCTATCCTGAGCTCCTAGAATTTAGTTTTAAAACTGTGAAAATATAATAACTAATGAAATATTTCAATGCGAGACACACACATGGAGATAGTATAGAATAGTGATTAAAAGTAAAGGTTTTGAAATCAGATATTGCTACCACTTAACCTCTGTGATTTTTGGTATGTCATACCTCAAAACATGTCACACGTGTTTTAAAGAACATCTGTGAAATATGGCTAACAATACCTGCCTATTAGGATTGTAAGAAGTAATGTACATAAAGCATTTTCATTATGCCTGACAGATAATAAACAATAAATCATTAATGGTATACTTGGGAAAATCTGAGTTCAGTATGTAGAAAAAATACCTTTTTGGTAAACAACATTTTAACCTCTATTTTAATGGAAATGCATATTCATGGAGAAATTTTTCAAAGAGCATAAATGAGTAAAAACTAAACTTTTCTGCAACCTGCCATATACTTCTAAACTTATTAATCCTGCCTGCTCTCGAGATAATCAAGTTTGCTTAATCTTTATTGGACCTTTTTTTTTTATCTTTTCCTTCCAGATAAATAGATGTATAATACAATTAACTCAAAATCTCTTTTTGTTTTAGAAGATGAAAGTCAAAGAGATACCAACAGTCCTAGTAAGAAATATCTCATTTCTTTTGTTGATTAATGTTTCTGCAATGTAGAAAAAGTGAGAAATTAATTTTTCTTATCAAAGGAAGTTGCAAGAATTTAAGGTATTATAACAATATGTATAGGGGCAACTTCGTTTCTTGAAAAATCATTTTCAGCTATGACTGGAGACTATGCTGTTTTAAAACAGTAGTTGAAATCTTTTCAACCCTTTTTTTAAATAAAAAATATTCTACAAAGCCCTTGTATTATCCTAAAATAAGATTCATAGATCAGATGTACTTATACCCATAAAAAATAATGTCCTGAATGTAATTTATAACAAAAGAACATATTTCAATATGTAAATGCTTAGCTTATATTGAAAGGCTTAATGAAAACAGATGTTTTCATTTATGAATTCAAATAAATTTGAATTTAAGAGATTAGAAATTGTTCTATGTAAGAAGAAAATGAACTAAAGAAACACAGTGGATACTAGATAAAAATGTTTAATTTTTATTAAAACCATCTGAAAATATTTTGTTTATATGTAAAACTGATTTAGATTCTGGATTTAATCACTATAAATAGGTTTTTAACTTGCATATGTGTCTAGCAGTGCATTTGAAAGTTGGGCATGAAGTAGGTTGATTTTTCATTGTGCAAAACTCTCTTAATCATCTCAGCATATCTAGCCCTCCTACCCGCACCCCATTGGTATAACAATAAAAAAGAAAATCAGGCTGGGTGTCTAGCTCAGTTGGTAGAGTGCTTGCCTTGCATGCACAAGGCCCTGGGTTCAATCCCCAGCACCATTAAAAAAAAAAAAAAAAAGAATAAAAGAGAAAATCCCTTTGACAGTTGTCCAGATTGCCTCTTAGGGCTTACTATACTCTTGAGAACCACTGTTCTATGATGACATACTAATGCATGAGTTTATCCTATTTCCCTGTCTCATACAACTGCAGATTTATAACTATGGCAAATAAATTGACATGAAGGCTTTTTTTGAGGGGGGTACTGGGAATTGACTCAGGGGCACTTGACCACTGAGCCACATCAGCCCTGTTTTTGTATTTTATTTAGAGACAGGGTCTCATTGAGTAGCTTAGTGCTTCGCTTTTGCTGAGGCTGGCTTTGAACTCAGGATCCTCCTGTCCCAGCCTCCTGAGCCGCTGGGATTACAGGCATGCACCACCACGTCCTGTGACATGAAGGCTTTTATAAAATTCTTTTTCTTGGTTTCACTTATGAAGTCTGGTTATCCCATTTGGGATAATCTTTCCCTGTACAGTCTGTTTAAAGAAAAACATACCTTAAATCCATTATCTGAGTTTAGAGCAGCATAAAACGGATTATCCTGTAGATGGAGTCCACTGATTCTCTATAAGAATTCAGATGCAAGGAAAGCAGTTTTCTCTATAGCCATGTATACGTAGAGGAAAAACTATTTTCTGTCAGCTTGCAGAATCAATGCTTTAAAAGGAAGCTATTATCTGGAAGCGGTTTGCATATGCATGTGAAATGTGTTGTCTTGTTTGAAATAGAAGAGACAGTCTTTACTTTGCACGAATATACAGAAAATAGAAACAAAAATTTCTAAGAAATTCAAGAGAACTTAAAAAATTATCTTGGCTTTTAAATCCTGTGAAACCTTAGATAAAACCCAGAGCAGCATGACCTGATGATCTGTGTGTGTGTGTGTGTGTGTGTGTGTGTGTGTAAATGTAGTTCTTAAGAACTACATTTATTTGAAAATTGTTCCCGAGTAGAAGCATTTCAGTAAGCTTCTAACTTATAGCATTTACATATTCAGGATATATGGTATAGATGATGATATTTGATACCAAAAAATGATGTGTCAGTGACTGTGTGTTCTCATTAACAGCTCCAGCTCCAGCTCCAGGTCCAGATCCAGGTCCAGGTCCAGGTCCAGGTCCAGCTCCTGTTCCAGGTCCCGAAACCAATCCTTCTGCATCCTCTGGCAAAAGGCTTCTTCCACCATTTGGGACATTCATCATTTTAATCAGTGCTTCTGTTGTAAATCTTTTTGTTGCTCCATAGTTTGATACAGTCTTTATCTTTCTTATTCTTTACTTGAAATACACTACAGGGATCCTATAGGAGATCAAAAGGAATGATGTATTTTTCACTTGTTGGCCAAAGCCACTTTATAAAATGAGAACTGTATATTTGTTATTTGTTTTGCAATTCAGAAAGTTGGTCCAGATATAATGTCACAGAATTAACTTTTCTTTTATTTCTATATTAATCTTATTTTTAAAAAACAAAACTGTACTTTTGATTGGATTCAATAAAAGACTTTAATATTAGTAGATATTATTTCTGTAGAATTGCCAGCTATTAAATTGTCCATCACTATTGTTAGTGATTTAACATAAATTTAATACCTGAATCAGTTTTAAAAGATATTCTCATCTCTTTGTAGGAAGACTTTGACAATCTCTTCATCCTCCCTTAGTACATATGAATATCGTTGTCTTTATAAACACTGACAGTTTACAAAACATTTCAGTCTCTTAACTTGAATCTCATGTTAATCTAGGAAGGTTGACAGGGTAGTGAATATATCAAAAAAGGAAAAAAGAAGTTATATAGTACTGTGGCAGTTGAATAGTGACTAATTTAGCAGTGGATATTGGTAGCCAAGCCAAGACTGGTTTATACTTTGTTGATGGTTTTTTTTTTTTTTCCTAGTACCAGGGATTGAACTCAGGAGTGCTCAACCACTGAGTCACATCTCCAGCCCTCTTTTTGAGACAGAATCCTGCTAAGTTGCTGAGGCTGGCTTTTGAACCAGCAATACTTCTAGGGCCTCCACCTCCAGAATTGCTAGGATTTGCACACTAGTGCATACCACTGTGCTCTGCCTTTGTCAGTGTTTCAAAACAGATTTAAGGTCACTTTCAAATCTGAACTAGGTGATAAGGATTCAGAATGAGTAATAAAAGGAATAAGGAATAAAAATAAAAAGGGCTAGAAATGAGACTCAGTGGTTAAGTACCCTTGGGTTCAATCCCCAGAACTGGAAGAAGAAAAATTATAGAGAGGGTAACTAGATCAGTGGCTGCCAGGGGTGGGATAGGAGGAGGCTGAACAGGGCAAACATTGGAGATTTTTTTCTGGACAGTGAAAATACTCTATATGACATGGCATTGATGGATACGTGATATGACACATTTGGCAAAATCCACAGAACTTTGCAACACAAGGATTTAAACCTCAATTACATAAATTGTAAACTCATTTAAGAGGCCTGGGATCCCAGGATGGAATGCAAAAGCCAACAGGAACCCAACTGTACAAGTTTAAAAAGCAGTGTATGTGTGTGTGTGTGTTGGTGGGTATTGAACCCAGAGTCTTGTACAAGCTAAGTAGCCCTCATTCAAAATTAAAAGAACCACCTACTTCTGGTAAACTGACTTATAGAATACAACTTAGTAGTCAGGATAATGTGATTCTTCCTCATACTCACCCAAAATTTAGAACTTAATGTGTTTAGGCTGCTATGATAATGCAATACTGTAGACTGGATAGTTTGTAACAGAAATTTATTTCTCAGTTTTGGAGGCTAGGAAGTCCAAGATCAAGGTGCTGGCAGATTTGCTTCCTGTAAGGGCCCTTTTTGTTTCTTGCAGAAGAGCTGTCTTCTTGCTGGGTCTCACATAGCAGAATGCTCGAACAGGAGAGGTAGGACACTAATTCCATTGATTGAAGACTCTACCCTCCTGACCTGATCACCTCCCAGAGACCCCACATTCAAGGACTCTCATACTAGGTATTAGAATTTAATTATGAACTTTACGGAAACAGATTTAGTCTACAGCACTCGGTTATCATTTAATAGGAACACACCTGTAGTACTACATGTGCCGTATGCATATGTTCCCAGTGGGGCCTAGGATGACTGGCTTGTCTTTAAAAGGCAGACCCTGACTTCTATCTAGGTGTTTTTATCTTGTGGAACCAAGAACCTAATAGTACCAGAACATGAAAATGAGCACGGCATACATGGTTAGTGATGTGCCCACTAGATTATGTGGCTCAGTGAATATAACAAATTTTGCATGCCCTAAACTGTCAAAAGTGACTATAGCAGTTAACTTGGAAAGAACAATCAGTTTAAAAGTTCCTAGTCGTCTTATGCAACTCCTAGTCTGCAGTACTAACAGAGAAATCTTCAGTGAGGTCTCATTCTGGATATACATGCATCCTATCTCTCACCTTCCCCATAAATACAATAGGAAGACTTATGAGATAATTTCTTGTTACACCTCTTAATATAAGCCAAAGCATCACATAGTAATGTAAAGTTATAGCATTTTAAGAGGTGACAACAATATGCAGCCCAGGTATTTATAGACTGCAGCCAGAAATACAAAAAAAAAAAAAAAAAAATTGGGTTGTTAAAGAAACATTATGTTGTCTAACTCAGATTATCTGTTTTCACATAATAATGCTACCACAGGGAATTCTTATCCTAGATGATCTCTTAAGACTAAAACTCCTGGATTGATTATAATTATGAATTTAGGATTTGAGTGGACATTAATGGTCTTTCCCCAAAAGCCAAATAAAGAAAGCACAGACAGAATTATCTAAAATTACAAATAAAGAATTTATTTAAAAGTTTTCATCTTTTTTAGAAATAAAAAGATTTAAAAAACAAAAAATTTGCAAAAATGGTAATTGTGTTATATCCTAATTGCTTAGGTGTGTTCTGTAAATTCCAAACAAGTAAAGTAATATAAAAATATATTTTCAAATCTTTATAGAACAAAAAAGAAAACCACATTAACCATTAAATACTTTTGGATTTTTCTCTACTCCTCCCACAGATGAATTCACAAATATAAAAACTGATGTACATTTACTCTCTGAAGTACAAATATCCAACAGCTCAGTAATTATGTGCAAAGTAGACATATATTTACTTGCTATGGAAAGCTGAATGAAGAATAATCATTAAACACTGATTATAGTTAAGAAAATGCTGTTGTGGAAATGTAAAATAATACATATACTTTTGGTTATTATGTACTTCTCTTTTTAAAGTAAATATAGCTTTTAGAGGTAAATCTTTTGAAGGTTATCTTTAAAGAGTTGTGAGGTGGCTATTTTATTTCAGATTTTTCGGTAAAACCCAAGCCAGGAGAGGATCATTTTCTTTTTTTTCCACGTGGTCAGTTTCATTCTCTTAAGGAAGGCCTGATGAAGTAAGTTGAGAGGATGTATTTCACCAACCACCAACACAAGTTTGTGAACTGTCAACTAAAGACACCACCTCTGACATGGATGGCTTCATTCAATCCATGTTCTACCAATTTAATATCTTCTAGATCATCTTTTATGATGCTAATCAAGTGACTAAGGCCTTCCTGTTGTTGTTTCAAATGCTAGAATAAAATAGAACATATTAATGTATTATTCTGCTAAATTGCAAGCTACTCATAAGAAATTTTAGTATTGTACTAGCAATAATACAGTACGTAGTAACTGCTCTAAATAAAACAGGCAAGCATAAACATTTTTACATCTTTTACTAATAAAACTTTTACATAACCCACAGTAAAAGTAAACTCTCAAGAAAGATAAAATATGAGCAGCTTCTTTAACAGATATATTTTTAAATTAAAAACAAAAGTATGATATTAAAACAAAATTAAGTTGAAGGTACTTAAATACAGATGAATACAGATGACTTCTAGTAAACATTTTAAAAACAATTTTCATGTTTTGAAGTACAAAGTATATGTAATAATGGTAAGGGTGATGATGAATATAGTTGATAACATTTTAGGAGTCCTTCCCATATACTAACATACTGTTTAATAGCCTCACTGAAATTAACTTGCTTATTCATTTAAAATCCTTGAGCACCCTTTGGAGTATCAGGGTCATTTTTACTTTAAAGACGTTGATAAGTCATTTGCCCAAGGCAATAAAGTAGAGGGCAAGTTGTGGTTCAATTCCAAAACATTTTAGAAAGATGGCTGTTTATATGATTTCCAATATTACTGCACGTACAGACTCTTTAATATGGCTCTGTACTATAATGTGCTAATAGTCACCTCACAACTCTTCAAAACCTTCAAAAGATTTACCCCTTAAAGCTATATTTACTTTAAAAAGAGAAGCACATAATAATCAAAAGTATATGTATTATTTTACATTTCCACAAAGCACTAGATTTGCTTTGTTAATGACATAACTATCTAAAATCCTCAAGTTCATGCCAGTACACCTAGTGTTTCACTAAGTTACCATCTTTTATACAAACAACAAATAAATATGTGTATACATACACACATAAATATATACATAATATATATATATACATGCACACATACATATAGGTACTTATGTGTGTGTGTGTGGGGGGGGTATAATATATATATATATATGTCATTGTTGCTGCTGCTGTTGCTAGGGACTGATTCCAGAAGCACTCTTCAACACTGAGTTACACCCCCGTCCTTTTTTTATTTTTAAATTTATTTTGAGACAGGGTCTTGCTAAATTGCTAAAGCTGGCCTCAACCCTGTGATCCTTTCTGCCTTAGCCTCCCAAATTGCTGGGATTACAGGCATGAGACACTATACCTCGTTTAATATTTTATTTATGCACAATCAATATTTGAATAGCTTTCATTAAATAAATTTGTATGAAAATAAGCTATAGTAAAAAAATCTTTTTTTCATTTAAAGTGAGCCTTAGACACATGGTTGAAGATTCTGGCTACCCCAACCTCTGCATAGGTCCCTTAACTCTATATACTTGTATGTGGCATACAGATTGAGAAGGTATGATCTCCAATAGTTGCTCTTCAATTTAACATGCACACTCATCTCCCTATGACCTTGGTAAAATGCAAGCTGAGTAGATTTAGAATAAAGACTGAGATTTTGCATTTCTAATGATCTTCCAGGTGCTGCTGCCACCTACACTTTGAGTAGTAAGGTCTAGGTAACTTTAGGGATTCTATTACCTCTAAATTCACCCTTTATATGCTCAGAGGAGATGGTGATGGGCATGATTCACTTATTTTTTATTGTGGTAAAACAGAAAATAAAATTTATCATTTGAACTGTTAAGCCCAAATCAGGGGTATTAAGTACATTGACACTGTTGGGCAGTAATCACCACCATCTATCTCTAGAACTTTTCATCTTCCCAAACTGAAATTCTGTGCCAATTAAATAGTACTCTCCATTCCCCCCTCTTCTCATCCCCTGGCAACCACCATTATTCTCTATTAACTGGACTATTTTAGGTACCTCATGTAAGTGGAGTCATACAAAATTAGTCCTTTTATGGCTGGCTTATGTCACTTAGGATAACATCTTCAAGGTCTATCAATATTATGGCATGTGTAAGAATTTTCTTCTTCTTAGGAAGAAATAACACATTGTGTGTGTATATACATGGATATATATCTGTTCAAATACCTGCTTTCAATTTCCTTGGGTCATCTAGAGTGGAACTGCCAGATCACCTAGTAACTCTGTTTATAACATTTAGAGGCCCTACCACACTGTTTTCTACAGGCTCCACTTTCCTTAACAGTTCAAAGGTTCCAACTTCTCCACATCATTGCAAACACATTATTATTATTTTTGGATAATAGCCATTCTAATGCATGTGAAGTGGTAAGCTGACACTTTTTTAAAAGTACATCTTTGTACAACACTTACCTGCTTAATTTCTCGCAATAGGTCTGCATCTATATAATATCTTTCTTCAGATTTGACTGCTCCAAAATGATTTTGCATTCTGATTTGGGACATCAGTTCATTTAGTCGGCCCTAAGAGTAAGAATGGGTCAAAATACAACTGCTAACAACAGCAACCATTTCAAAAAGAGAACCTTTTGAAAGGAGAGTTTCAAAATTATCAATTAAAAATTTCCAATTCTTGCTCTGTACATTATTTGAAGCACTAACACAAGCCAAAAATCATGACTAAGTTCAATTTAGAGTTTTTTAATTAAAGAATGTTAAAAAAATGCAAAGTTATTGTTTGAAAACTACTCAAAACTTGTCTGCAAATCCACCTGAAATAAATTCTAGCTTTATGTTGTAGAAATGCTTACTTTGAACTGAGTAGGTGCATTCAGTTCACACTGAATTGTATCTAGCTGAACCCGCAGTTGCTCTTCATCAGCTTGGATGGCATAACCACTTTTCCTTTGAATTTCCTGTTTGATTAGGACCTATTAAAAAGAAATCATCAATACTAACAGAACTTTTTTCAGTTATGCAAGTAATTTTACTAGCTGTTGACAGAAATTAGCTGAAAATTAACAATAAAGCTGGGCTTAACAGTTCAAGAGCTGACTCACATTTCTGTGGTACTACGTAGAAGTATCACTTAAGTGCTGGTAGAAGGAGTACAACAGTTCTTTTAAACCTATGGTTTTTATACTTTTTTTTTTCTTTTTGTAAAACACTGTTTTAAAAATTTATATATGACAGCGGAATGCATTATAATTCTTACAGAGCACAATTTTTTATCTCTGTTTGTATACAAAGTATATTCACACCAATTGTGTCTTCATACCTGTACTTTGGATAATAATGATCAACACATTCTACCATTATTAATAACCCCATACCCCCCCTCCCACCCCTCTGCCCTATCTAGAGTTTGTCTATTCCTCCCAGGCTCCCTCTCTCCCTACCTCACTATGAATCAGCCTCCTTATTTCAAAACATTCAGCATTTGTTTTTTGGGGATTGGCTAACTTCACTTAGCATTATCTTCTCTAACTCCATCTATTTACCTGCAAATACCATGATTTCATTCTTTTTTATTGCTGAATAATATTCCATTGTATATACATGCCATATTTTTTTAATCCATTCATCTGTTGAAGGGCATCTAGGTTGGTTCCAAGAGTTTAACTATTATGAATTGTGCTGCTATAAACACTGATGTGGTTGTGTCCCTGTAGTATGCTGTTTTTAAGTCCTTTGGGTATAGACCAAGGCAAGGGATAGCTGGGTCAAATGCTGGTTCCCAATTTTCAAGAAATCTCCATACTTCTTTCCATATTGGCTGTACCAATTTGCAGTCCCACCAGCAGTGTATGAGTGTATGAGTGTACCTTTTTCGCCACATCCTCACCAACACTTATTATTGTCTGTCTTCATAATAGCTGCCATTCTGACTGGAGTGAAATGAAATCTTAAGAGAGGTTTTGATATGCATTTCACTAATTGCTAGTGATGAAGAACATTTTTTCATACATTTGGTGATTGACTATATATCATCTTCTGAGAAGTGTCTGTTCAGGTCCTTGGCCCATTTATTAATTGGGTTATTTATTTTTTTGGTGCTTAGCTTTTTGAGTTCTTTATATACCCTAGAAATGAGTGCTCTGTTGGTTGTGTGAGGGGTAAAGATTTGCCCCCAAGATGTAGGCTCTCTATGCACCTCACAGTTTTACACCTTTATAGCCTTTCAGAATCAAGTGTTCTTTATATAAAAATGTGAGCTTATAATAATTTTAAGTTTTTAAAAATTTTATTGGACTTCTGCTTCAGATTTAAAAAGCAGTATTTGCCTGTCTAGAAACTATACAAGAATTTTGGCAAATTTTCTCTCATTCTCTCAAGAGAAACAGCCCTGACTAAAGTTCATTCCCCTATACTTTCGTTCACACATATAAAACATACATGCACATACATGTATCTAAAATACAACTATACTGTTTGTTATTCTGTGTCGTGCTTCTTTCTTTAAGCAAACTTAATAGTACATCGGGAATAAGTGCTGAGACCACTAAAGGCAGACTTGCTCTGTTCTTACTCCCAATCCCAAGATACACAGTGACAAAACTGCAAGTTCCTTCAAACTTTCATCCACACTCCTAATCCTTTTTTTCCCCCACAAAGTTAACTCAATTATAATCATACTAAAATCCTTAAGAGGTGTGGCTCTAATTTGTTATTTTTAACAGCTTCATGCCTTTTCATGAGTAATAACCAATAATCAATCATTATTATCTTGATAGGCACGTATTTATTTCTAGTTATGATTCTATGACCAATGCTTTACTACATATTTTTGTGTAAAGATCTTTGTAGACCCCCAAGAATGAGATTGCTGGGCTTAAAAGTATGTTTTCAGTTATAATAGAAGCTGCTAAGATGGCTTTCTCCAAAAATTCCAACAGTGTAGATTCACAAACTACTTGTCAGAGCTATCGTTACCCCACATTCCTGCCAGCCACTGGTAGTGGTGGTTAAAGTTTTCTGATCTGATGAATATAAAAAATTTTTTCTTTAATTTGCAAATCCCTGACTTCTAGTAAGCTAGAGGAGCATCTCTGGTTAAGAAGTAACTTTGTCTTTGTTTTTCTGTGACATGCCTTTACAAATATTTTTGCCCACATTTCAATTAGGTTTTCTTGTCAAATTATAGAATCTCTTGTATAATACATATATTAACATATATTAACACTAAAGATAAAATAAATGCTACCACTTCTGTCATATGTCAAGCATACAGATATACTTGCATCTACTTAGATTTTTGATTCTCTTCCAGAGATCTTTATGTCTAATCCTATTGTCAATTTAACATTGATTTGACCACAAGAGTTTTTTTTTTTTTTAAGAGAGAGAGGAGAGAGAAGAGAGAATTTTTTTTAATATTTATTTTTCAGTTTTCGGTGGACACAACATCTTTATTTTATTTTTATGTGGTGCTGAGGATTGAACCCAACACCCTGCGCATGCCAGGCGAGTGCGTTACCGCTTAAGCCACATCCCCAGCCTGACCACAGAGTTTTAAAGTAGGTTCTTAAACCTTACTTATAAAGGAAGGTCTTCTTCATTTTTTCTTTTATATTGTCCTAGAAGCTAGCTTCAAACACTTATCCTTCTTTATTTAAAAAAAATGTTAATTCCTTTTTAAACTTTATGAAGTCTTTTCATTTAAAAATATGGTTTTTTCTATTTGTAAAGACCTCAAATTATGTACTTTCCCCATAAATTTATTCCTAAGTATTTTATAGTTTTGTCATCATAACAAATGTTGTATTTTCCTGTTTTCATGATGATATAAGAAAAGCTAATTTTTACACTTTATATCTAGCCAGATTACACTAATTCTATGATAAATTGTCCTGAGTTTTCTAAATAATGTCATCAGCAAACTGATTGTTTGATCTCCTGTCCAGTATTGATATTTATTTTATTGCTTATTATATTTTTGAAAACCTCCATGATAACAGTGATTAATAATGATAAGATTGGGTATCTCAGGATCTAGGTTCTGAATATTCATTTTTATGTTTTGCCTTTTGAAATATTTGCTATTTTTGGATATAGTCTATTATATATTTTCCTTTAATGTGTTAGAACACTGTTATATTGAAAGACTGTCATTTCTTCATTTAGAATTTCTGGGGTTTTCTGGTCCCAATTCACTGAGGTATAATCCACATACAACAAAATTCACCCACTTAGGTGTAGAGTTCTATAGGTCTCTAGTTAATTTTGACAAATATATACAGTCATGTAACCACCACCAAAATTATGATGACCTAAGTCTGATCACTAGTACTGCAGAGCCTCCCACCTGCCACAAAAAAGCATGAGAGAATGAAAAGAAAAAAAAGATACCCCAAAAGTACAAGAAGTTTAAAGTAAGTTATAAATCTGATAGAGGAAGTCCATCATTATTTTTTATCCCTCTAGAAGCTAGTTTCAAACACTTATCCTTCTTTATTAAAAAACAACAACAACAACAATAAACTAACAAAAAAACTTGCAAAAAAAAAATTAATAAAAAAGGTGTTTGGAGTATAGCTAAACGGCAAAATTCATGCTTAGTATGTATAAGGCCCTAGGGTAATCCCCCATACAACCCACAAAAGTATGTATAAACTATTTCCATCATCCCCCAAAGTTCTCATCTCCAGCCTCTAGCAGCATTGTCCCATTTTTGCATGTCATATAAATGAAATCTTGCCTTATATAGCCAGTAAGTCTTTTTTTCACTAAACATAATTTGCATTTTTATTAGAAATATCTGTTCATAGATTTTTTTTTTAAGGTGCTAAAAATAGAGATGTAAAATGCTACAGCTGCTTTGAAAAACAGTTTGGCAATTTCACAAACAATTAAATGCAGTATTAACCATATGACCCAGAAATTTCACTCCTAGATTTATACCCAAGAAAATGGAAGCATACATCTAATAAAATGTACACAAATATTAATGACAACATTATTCACAATAGCCAAAAGGTGAAAACAACCAAAGTGTACATCAAATGATGAGTGAATAAAAATGCAGAACATTCATATGATGAAGTATTACTCAGCAATAAAAGAAAATGAAGTACTTTAACATGCTACAACATGAGTTTATTTTCTTTCATTTGATTTTTAGAAATAAAGTTGTTTTTTTTTAAGCCTATACATTTTCCTCTTGAGGACAGTTTTTGCTGCATCCCACTGATTCTGGTATGTAATATTTGTTTTCATGATAGTTTATAATTTCAGGGTGTTTTTTTGTTGTTGTTGTTCATTTTTAATTTTCTCTTGTTAGTTTGGAAGTTCTGTTGTTTTTTTCAACCATTAGTGGTTACACTCCCTTTTCTGGCATTCAAAAATAAGAAGTATTTTCTACTTTATGAAGACTAGATATCAGTGATTTCATATATGCTTTCCTCATACTAAAATGCTTTATTTCTTCATGGTTTTCCTTTACTCTGTTACTAAGATGTGAACTTTAGAGTTTTACTCTCCTTACCCAACCCTGTAAGACTTCTCCTCCAATGTCTAGGCTTTACTAAGTTTAGTACTTACAGATTGGATCATTATTTCTTCTGAGTCTCTTTTTTTCCTATATTCAGCACGTAATTCACATGTATCATCTTGTAAATGTTGGGGGAAAAATTCCAAATTACTACCTGTAAGGTTCTATGGGAAAGATCCATGAGTTTCCTCTTGTATTGTGCAATTTTGGCCATAGTTGTAGTTTGATTCTTTTGTAGCTCACTAATATCTTCAGATATAATCTGTGGGGGAAAAATGCCTTTTATAAAAGTCAGGTATGAGTATTACAATTATTTATCAGGTATGCCTATATGCAATGCCTAAATCTGAAATAAACTTGAAATTTATCTCTCAAAATATAAAATTCTTTCCCTTAAATTATGCATTTGCAGTTTTTCCTTCTTATGTATCTAAAAACCATAAGTTACTATTAAAAGAATTCTTCAGAGCACTAGGATATTTGGGCATTGCATAGTAAAAAGGGGCAGAGGGTAGGGGTAGGCTTAATCACCTCAATCTATTGCCATAAAATATAGTATAGCCCAATACAACTGTTTACAGAATATTTGGAGTAATCAGATTGGAGAGGAAAAGAAATATAAATTCTACAACTGAATACATTTTTATGACACTGGATCTTTAATTTATTCTTTGCTGGCTTAAAATCCTACTTTCTACCTTACAAAATCTTAACAAACTAGGTTAAAAATCTCTCCATGTCACTAAAGCATTCCAACTGGATTTAATCCCATAACTGTCCCATCATAATGAGTCATTCTATGTCACTGGCTAACATAGACATAGGAAAGAGGATAAGAAGATTGTATAACATATTTTAACAAGTCTATCTGTGCATATCACCTTTGAAGGAAATAAATGCCAGGCCATTATAAAGAGACAAAACTAGGTAACCATGTTACCATCTGCAGTATTTATTGACCATCCAGGAATTAACCAAAAAGGAGCATGCAAGATTTTTAAAAAGAATATATTAAAATAATTATGAAGGACATAAAAGACATCAGTGATTAAAGAGACAAATTATATTCATGTATGGAGTGATTTAGCATTAGGATTCAATTCTTTACTAATTAGTCTTTACATTTAATGCAATTTCAAAATTCTGGCATTTTGAAAAACTGATTCCAGTATCTTTATGAAAAAATAAAGGTCCATAGAGAGCCAAGAAAACCCTGAGAAGAACAAAAACTGGAAATTCAATCTACTAGCTTTTAGTATGTGTTGCAAAGCCACAAAAGTAAAAAACTCTTGTGAGAACAGACCAACTGGACCCTGAAACATAATAGATCTAGAATTAGATCATATACATATATATATATACATATAATAATTCAAATTCTTAGTTAAATGGGGTAAATCAAATGTTTTATGGATATTTGAAAAATAGACCCACCATTCAGGAAAAAAGTTCAAGTCACATAACATGTAAAGAGGTGAACTCCACTACTGAGGGCAAAAGAGGCAAATGTGAAAGATTAAACTCCAAATGTTAGAAAAAAATGTAGGTGACTCTTAGATCCTAGGGTAAAGAATGGTTTAAAAAATTTCTAAGGACAAAAAAGGAAAATCAAAAACACCCCAATTTAATTACAATAAAATTAAGGATTTCTATTCCACAAAGGACATCAAAGCAGAGATAATAGATGAAAAACTAAAAATTACTTGTAATATTAAGATGTATGGGCTGGGCATGGTGGCACACAACTGTAATCCCAGCAGCTGGGGAGGTTGAGGCAGGAGGATCATGAGTTCAAAGCCAAACTCAGCAATGGCGCTAAGCAACTCAGTGAGACCCTGTCTCTAAATAAAATAAAAAATAGGGCTGGGGATGTGGCTCAGTTGTCTACTGTCCCTGAGTTCAATCCCCGAAAAACCTCCAACACTTGCAAATGAAAAATATTTTTAAATAATTCACTAATCAAAAACAATCAATATTCTCAAAGGAAATTAGAAAATATTTTGAGTACCAAAAAAGAAAATCAATATTTTTGAAATATATCAAATCATATTTATATGATATTAAGAACCCTATTATAAAGAAGGTAGTTGTATAAAGCTATAATTGTTAATGTGCAGTATACTGGTTCCCCATAAGAGAAAAATGGCACCCATGATAAAATAATTAAATGTCTCTAGTCCCTCTACCTACTACCAGAACCAGAGAATAAAAAGCTAGTTGCTTACATCTAATCTGGTCTGATGCTGCTTAGTCATCTGATCTTGAACCTTCAATCTTCGAAGCAGCTCTTTGAAACCCACCATTGGTACAGGAATTAACCTGAAGAAATGCAAGTAGTCAATTATCTGATCTTAAGTCTGTTACTACAAAATATATAAGATTTTCATAGTAATATATAATTTTACATCAAATTTCTAGATGGATCAATATGAAATCAAGTGTTCCTCCCTATTTTACAAATGAGGAAATAATGAGGAAATATAGTTGTCAAAAATTATAATGAAACTCAATGTTAATTGGGGAAATGGCACTCAGATTTCTTCATCTCTAGTAGTTTTCACCACACTATGGGTCTCCCCAAACATTTTTTTTTTTTAAAGCAATGAAAATAGACTCCTCAAATGTTAGAAATACAATTAAGAGCTTAGCTTACATCTGTTTGCTTCCATAGTAGTAAATATTAGCTTGAAGATATACTTACTTTTCAGAATCAGGGTTATCCACCTTGGCTTGTTCCCAAATAATAGGATCAACACCTACCACAAAGAAAAAATATTTTTTAAACACTTTTCTGTGTTTAAAATATGTGTATGGGAAAGATTTTCCCCAAAGACAGACTCAGAAGCTATAATGAAAAATGATTGTCAAATATGATCATTCTAAAAGTAAAAAGTTTTATAGGACAAAGCTAAAACAAAAAATACAAGTTGAAAGGAAATATCTAAAACCTACAGAATAATAGATTAACCTTCAGAATACAGTTAAGAGCTCCTATAATGACAGAGACAGACCCTAATAGAAAATGGACCAAGGACATAAATAGGTAAAACACAAAAAATGCAAATATTTAGCTAATTCAACTTTGCTAGTAATCAGGAAAATGCAGATTAAAATAAATATTAATTTTTAAATTAATTTATTGCCATCTGTAGCAAAACAGCAGCAGCAAAAAATATTGCTGTTAAGAATTCCAATGGAGCCAGGTGTGGTGGCGCATGCCTACAATCCCAGAAGCTCGAAGTCTGAGAAAGAAGGATCGCAGGTTGAAAGCCAGCCTCAGCAACTCAGTGCGAAGCAACTCAGTGAGACCCTGTCTCTAAATAAAATACAAAATCAGGCTGGGGATGTAGCTGAGTGGTCGAATGTCCCTGAATTCAATCCCCAGTAGCCCCCTAAAAAACAAGAAATTTAAATGGTGGGGCTTTTTTAGAGGGCAATTTGGCAATATGAAACGTATATATCTAACATATATAATATTGACTCCAATTTCATTTCCAGAGATCCATTCTAAAAAAGTACATACCCATGTACTCTAGACATATCTACAAGGAAACAGTTTATAAAACTGAAAACTCAGAAACAACACTTGAATTAAACAGCAACACATATGTGTAAAATACTATGTAGGTGTTTAAACAGAATAAAATTTACCTTCATGTACTGACATGAAAAGTACTAAGGAAGACTGTAGGTGAAAAGGCAAGCTACAGCAAATGTACAGCGCAAAATCCTTTTTTAAAGAAACTACAAGTACGTATGCTTACATTTAAAATCACAGATAAAGAATTAATAGGGCTGGGGATGTGGCTCAAGCGGTAGCGCGCTCGCCTGGCATGCGTGCGGCTGGGGTTCGATCCTCAGCACCACATACCAACAAAGATGTTGTGTCTGCCGAGAACTAAAAAAGAAATATTAAAAATTCTCTCTCTCCTCTCTCACTCTCTTTAAAAAAAAAAATATTTGTTAAAAAAAAAAGAATTAATAGTTACTTCTAGGGAAGGGAAATAAAGGAGAACTAGTCAACATAGTTAGGCCATCTAGAATTTCTTACGGTAGAAAAAAATTCAGGTTTTATTTGAATATTCAGCTTAAGAGATAAGCTATAGGAAATCAAAATAATATAAGAGGGTAGATGAATTATGTATTCTTTTTCTTTAGTTGATAATTTCTCAATATTTCTAACAAATATATTAGCTATATAATAAAGTTACATGAATGAATGAATGCAAATATTCAAAACGATCTCACAAATAAGTACACATGTGATAAGCTCATACTGATTAACATTAATACATCTCCTAAAAGGGGAACACTTATTTCTAAATCTTTAATTTTCTCAATTGTATAACTCTAGAAACATACCAGCAGGAGGATTCTGTAAAAGCTGTTTAATCTGTGCAGGAGATAGTTCTGTTCTAGTCATAGAAAGTGTTACACCAAGTTGCTGCAATTGTGTTTTTATATTAGCTTGTTCAAAATGTGCATATAATGTTGTAGCTGGAACTCTTCTTGATGTACCATTTGGAGAACGTTCAACAACATAAATGACAACTTCTGTCCTGTAGGGAAAAAACCCAACTTATAAAATATTGAGTACATATAACCCACAGCCACAAATATCAATACAACGTATGATTTTAGAAGGGTGCTAGATTAATTCAGAATTCTTTTTCCCCTCAAATCTTGGAGAATAAGCCCTCAAATTCAGTCGTCAACCAATTTAAATGATAAAAGTTAAAATGCAGGTCAACAAGATCAAATTTGTGAAAAGGTTTGGTCAGCTGCGAAGTCCTACATAAATGTTATCTGATATTTTTTCCAGAACTAAGAAATACTTTGAAGATTCTGCTGAAACTTATGGGTTACTTTTCTGCATTACTGATAGCAAGAAATAAAATTCAATCTTAAAATTCTAAAGTAAAATGCCTTGCCACTAAGACTAAAAATCATATGAGGACAAGGGAAGTAAAGTAATCACAATTAGTCATGAATGAACATGAATGGTAATAAGTTAATTAAACCTTCTAGTAATATCATGTGGCATTCAGTTTGTATAACTGTGATAAAATATTTCCTCCTGGTCTTGAATGAAAGTCTATGAAATTATTAGCATCTAATAAGAAATCCAAAATTAAAAAAAAAAAAAAGCTTTTAAACAAACATTTCTACAAATACTAAATAACCACCAGCTGGGAAATAACATTCTGTTCTAAGATATAATCTGTGTTTCAACAACAACAAAAAAACTCTGCTGACTACTCTCTGGACCAGGGGACATAAAAATAAATAGTATATTTTATATATACTTACTGATCATCTGGCAATGTTTTAATACCCTCTACATTTACAGTTAAGGTCTGGTTTCCTCCCAAAATTTTGTGCAGTGATTCTACCAACTGCTGTTGTTGGCTTCGAATATCTGTTTCCTTTTTGTTGAAAACTAAAACCACTAGCCCATCTTCATCTTTATTATTGGGCATACAACTATAACCTACTGCCTGCGAAATGACAAAATAAATAATATAAAAATATGTACATATCTTAAGTGTTTAAAATTAATAGCTTAATAGCTGCTACAATGAGGCAAAACAGCTTATGTTTGGTTATGAAGAATACATTATTTTGTACCCAAAGAAGTCACACAATTATAACTATATTACCCAAGAATAATATAAATAGGGTGAAATTAAAATTTGCTCCTTAAAATAGTAACTGAAGAGCTTTTACTCAGAAAAAAGTTTGATATTCATTATTGTTGAATATTTAGAACCAATCAAACTACTTTGCATGTCATTATAAACATTAATGCAAAAATCACAGGCCAACTGAATTTATTTCACAATATACCTGATTCATAGAATCTTAAAGTTCTAGATAAGGAAATGATTTACAAATAAATACTTTTAATGTACAATAATGAAACTGTCAGGTTAAAAATCACTAAAAAAATGTCTATCATTTTATGGTTTCATGTAACAAAACTTTTATTAAACATGTTAGTTTTGGGTGTTTTTTGTTGTTTTTTTTTTTTGGTAGTTGTAAATGGACAGAATGCCTTTATCTATCTATTTATTTATTTATTTTTCATTCAATGCTAAGGATTGAACCCAGTGCCTCACATGTGCTAGGCAAGCACTCTACCACTGAACCATTACCCAGACCCAGGCTAAAACATTGCTCTTTATCTTGTTATCAAGTATACTTCAAATTTTGAAAAAAGAAAAAGTTTAAATCATTATATTCAACTTATATCTACTATTGCATTTCTTATCACTAAACAAAAGGATTAAAATTTCAACTAATTTACTCAAAAAATATATAGGTTGAGTAATTGAAATCCAAAGTGCTTCAAATTCTGAAATTGTTTTGATATGATGGCTCAGTGGAAACTTTCACACCTGCTCTCATGTAATGGGTTGCAGTCAAAACAACAACGTGCTTCAGGTTGTGCATAAAACTATATAATACATGAATTTCACGTTTAGATTGGGTCCTACCCCCAAGGTGAGTCTCATTATGCATATGCAAATATTCTTATTCAGATGTGCAATCTGAAATGCCTTTGATCCCAAATGTGTACTTTTTTGTTAGAGTGATGAGACTAAGATATGTACTCTAACAAAGACAGGCTGACCACTTTTTGTTTCACTCTGTTCAAGCATCTGATCCTCAGCCTTGTAGCTCCAAACCCAAGACTACTGGTTAAGTTTAAGGGACTGACACAGGTCAACATAACTCAGAAAAGGCTTAATTACAAGGCTTGCGTGTGTATACAGCTAAGTGGTAGGACATTTTCCTAGCATGCAAAAGGCCCTAGGTACCATCCCTAGCAACACACACACATACACAAACAAACACAGGTTGAAATATAAAACTGACTAAAATACATTAACTTTTTATGGAAAATACACTGCTTAAGTAGACCTACATACTCTCTTTCACTGATGAATAAATATATGAAGTCAAATTCAAATGAGATGGTTACATTGATAGCAATCAGAGAAATGCAAATTAAAACTACTCTAAGATACCATCTCACTCCAGTAAGAATGGCAGCCATTATGAAGTCAAACAACAACATGTGCTATCAAGGATGCGTGGAAAAAGGTACACTCATACATTGCTGGTGGGACTGCAAATTGATGCAGCCAATTTGGAAAGCAGTGTGGAGATTCCTTGGAAAACTGGGAATGGAACCATCATTTAACCCAGCTATTCTTCTTCTCGGACTATACTCAAAAGACCTAAAAATGGCATACTATAGGGACACAGCCACATTAATGTTTATAGCAGCACAATTCCCAATAGCTGGACTGTGGAACCAACTTAGATGCCCTTCAATGGATGAATGGATTAAAAAAAAAGTGGCATTTATACACAATGGACTAAAAAATAACAAGATCATGGCATTTGCAGGGAAATGGTGGCAAATTATGCTAAGTGAAGTTAACCAATCCCCAAAAAACAAATGCCGAATGTCTTCTCTGATATAAGGGAGGTGACTCAAAATGGAGTAGGGAGGAAGAGCATGAGAAGAAAATTACCTTTAGATAGGGAAGAGAGGTGGGAGGGAAAGGGAGGAAAATGGGAATTGCATGGAAGAGGGAAGGAAATCCCCTTCATTGTACAGAATACAGGTATGAAGATGTGAGGGGGGAAAAAAAAGAAGTGGGTCACATTAGATTGGGTAGAGAAAAGTGATGAGAGGAGAGGCGAGGGAAAGGGGGGAAAGGAAGGACAGCAGAATAAAATAGATATTATTATTGCTTTGGTTATATACATGACTGCATGACCAATGTAATTCTGCAACCTGTACACTCAGAAAAATGAGAAATTATATCCCATCTGATTCAAATGCATGATATGTAAAGATCATTGTATTGTCATGTGTAACTAATTAAAAAAAATTTAAAAATGAGATGGTTGCTTGGTAGACAAGAAATTAGAACAAAGAAAATGGCAATAGGGTTACACGGGCCAAGGACAATTGTCCACTGGCCAGGCTGCAGTTTACTTACCAATGTTATATGAATACAACTAATGTCTAATTTTGAGTCTCCCCTTTACAGGTGTGCAAGGCAGACCATTTTCCCTTAAGTTATAAGTCACATTCTAGTGATACATTATCTTTAGCCATATTCTGATCCCTCTGAGCCATAAAAGAAAACATTCTGATTTTATAATTTCTATATTTTTAAAAGTATAATCATACCATGTTCAAGGAGTACTAAAGAAACAAGCAACTGTTTTCTTGATATAATTTTAATGAAAAAATCATGTTCTTTCGAATGTATTCTTTTTAAAATAAAGAGCAGAAACAGAATTAATACCTTAAATCGGCAAAAGGGATTTTCTTGTGTGAATTCCACTGGTGGAATATTATTATTGAAATATCCTTTTCCTGTTCCCCAAAATGCCTGCAGTTGATTCCATTTTGCCAAAATAGCATCTCTTTCATCTCCCAATAGTGTCGGAGCAGAAAGAGCACTTGCAGTATTTATCAGCTGGTTGGACTGGGTAGGAGCTTGGGCAGGCTGACTGAAGAGACCACCTAATGCTAAAAACAAACAAACAACAACAACAAAACCCAATTCAAATCCTTAGATGGGATAGGCAGAATAATGCCCCTCCCCCAAGATGTCCTTATCCTAATCTACAGACCCTATATATGTGTTATCTTACATGGCAAAAGGGACTTTATAGATACAATTAAGTTAGGTGTACTGCAATATGGAGATTACCCTGGGATTATCAGGATGGGTTCAGTATAATCACAATTGTCCTTTAAGATAGAAAAAGGAACTCAGAGTCAAAGTAAGATTGAAAGACACTATGCTGCTGACTTTGAAGATGGAGGAAGGAACCACAAACCATGAAGTGTAGGGAGATTCTAGGAGCTGGAAAAGGTAAGAGACTAAATTCTCCCTGAGAGCCTCCAGAATTTATCACAGATCTGCCATCACTTTAACACAGTGAAACCCATTCCTGGATTTCTTATCTTTAGAACTGTAAAGTAATCAATTTCTGTTGTCATAAGCCACCCTGGTAATTTGTTATGGCAGTATAGGAAAATAAGACAAAGGGACACAAAACAAGTCTTAAATACTAAACTTGCTTTTTCTAATGACGATAGCTTAATACAATTAATTCCATTACTAAAACTGGACCCCCCCCAAAAAAACCGTATGAATATGAAAAAGTAAAGTTTTTGAAGTTACAGGATTTTAAAAAAACAATATTGCTATTGTATTTCAATAATATAAATTTCTATTAATATAAAATATAAGTTTCTATAATATAAATAATATAAAATGATTCTAAAAATCATTATATCACTGATTATAAAGTAATATGTAGTAAAAAGACTAACATAATCGGCATCAGGATGCCAGGCTAAAGCTTTAGATAACTGTGTAACTTGGAGCAAGTCTCTGGGCTACAATTTCTCCAATGTAACAATGGCAAAGTTGATAGAGCAGAAAAATATTCCCAAAGTATGAGTTAAGAAAGCTGTCAAGCTTGGACTGGGACGCATTCATTCAGGAAGCCCTAGGTTCAATCCCTAGTTCCAAAAAAGAAAAGACTAAAAAAAGAGCCCCCCCCCTGCCCCCAGCCAAAATAACAAAGAAAGCTGTCAAGCAAGAGCTGAGTTACTACTACATGGCATTAATTCACATAACAAAAAAGTTACCTTTTGATGATCTGATTATATCAAAAGTCTCAGGTTGTTGCAAACAAAGGAAAGAAAAAGTCTAAGGCTCAGAGCTTAAGGCAAAGTTTATCTAGCTTATTAATAATTAATATCATATTTTCTTTGTACTTAATTTTGGTCATCTTTTTTTTTCCTCTTAATTTTTGAGATGAGGTCTCAGTATTACAGCCCAAGTTGGGCTTTGGTAGGCTCAAGTAACACTCCTGCCTCAGCCTCCTAAGCAGCTGGTACCACTGTGCTTGGCTGGTTCTATTTTCTTTATAGCAAATTATACAGGTTTGCTTTCCATTTATATCAGCAATATAGATCTTCCTTAAAATTTTAACTACATGATATTAAAGAGGAAATAGATTTAAGGAAACTTCTTAAAAGGATATGTAGATAAGAAAAAAAAAAACATGAAGACATTACCAAAATGACCTGAGTTTTAGAACACTATATCTGACATTTAAGTTCTCTCTCAGCTCTAAAGAGTGAAAAGTATCACCAAGGTTTGTAGGTCTTCTACAGAGATAGAGAGGTGCTCCTGTTACCTACCATCCAGAAGAGTATTATTTGTACCCAAATGGGTACATAAAAATTAGAAAGAAATGGACTGGAAATCAAAACATGAATCCTGGCTTATTATAAGCTTACTTTTTAGCATTGAGTAAGAAATTCCAAGGTTTTTCTTCCTCAACTTTAAAAAAAATTTTTTTAACATGTTAATGAACATTTATTTTATTAATTTATGCTGAGAATCAAGCCCAATACCTCACACCTGCTAGGCAAGCGCTCTACCACTAAGCCCCAACCCCAACTCCTTCCTCAACTTTTCAATGAGAGAAGATCTTTACTGATTTATATTCTGCCTCTCCTTTTACATTTCACACTGGATTACAGTCACACTAGTCTACTCAAAATTCATAAGCTAGAAGACATTAATGAACTCAAATTACAAAATCCAATAGACTCTCTTCAAGCCTTAGCGTATCAGATTTCTTATATCTTCCTACCTTGTCAGAGTCCTTTTGCCATTATTTCTTTAGCTACTCAAAGAAAATCTTTTTCATTGAACATACCACACCTTTAGAATTTTTTTAAATTTGTTCTTTTTAGTTATATGTAAGAGTAGAATGTATTTTGTCATATCATACCTACATAGAGTGCACAGCCATTTTGGGAGGCTGAACATGTTATGGTCATTTAGAGTTCTTAACAAAATTGTCTCTCCTGGTATATGTGTAAGTGCACATGTGTATGTATGTATTTATTATTTCTTTATTATATATATATAATATATATATAATATATTTTATATATATATAATATATTATATATATATATATTTTTTTTTTTTTTTTGTGGTACTGAGGATTGAACCCTAGTAGAACCTTCCACTGAGCTACATCCCTAGCACCTTTTTTTTTGATACTGGGGATTGAACTCAGGGGCACTCCACCACTGAGCCACATCCCCAGCCCTATTCCATATTTTATTTAGAGACATCTCACCAAGTTGATTAGTGCCTTCCTTTTATTAAGGCTGGATTTGAACTTGCAATCCTCCTAACTCAGCATCCTGAGCTGCTGGGATTATGGACTACCACACCTAGCCCCAGTACCTTTTTACTTTATTTGCTAAGTTGCCCAGGCTAGCCTTGAACTTGAGATCTTCCTGTCTTAGCTTCCCAAGCAGCTATGATTACAGGTGTGTGCCACCAGGTCTGGCTACATACAGTGCATATGTGTGTGTGTGTTTACCATACCTTCATGCAACAAATGTGTCAGATAGAGCTATATACTAAGGATACAATGGTAAATAAGACAGATGATATCTTTTAAACAAATTGAGCATATCATAACAACTGTGATAAGTTTCTCAGAGAAGAACAAAGGCTACGAGTACTACGTAAGGGAGTAAATAAAGCCTGAGAAAGGGAGTCAAGAGAAATCTGTCTAATTGGAACTTGTCAGCTAGTCCATGAGGTAATCGTATAGACAAACAGAATGTGCAAAATCTCTGGGGAAGAAGAAACTGGCAAAAAGTTTAAAGAGTACTGAAGGATGTGGCAGTGATAAAAATAGAATGAGAGTATCAATGAAGTGTTCCCATTTCCTAGAAACGTGACAAGGTAAGTGAGCATCAAGAATAATACTGAGCCGGGTACAGTAGCACTCTCCTGTAATCCCAGCAGCTTGGGAGGCTAAGGCAAGAAAATTACAAATTCAAAGAAAGCCTCAGCAACTTAGCAAGGCCCTAAGCAACTCAACAAGACTCTGTCTCTAAGATACAAAAATGGGCTGGGGATGTGGCTCAGTGGGTTCAACCCCAGGCACCAATAATAATAATACTAATAATGAATGCAACTAACTGAAATATATTTATTAAAGTCCCCACTTTCAAATGATAATTTTAAAAAGATCAAAAATCTAAAAAATTCCAACTCATTGGACACTACTGGAAATGAGGCCACCAACTCCTTACAAAAATTTGTCTGTTAGAATTTTTCCTGTCTTTCCCATATAAACTTTGTATCAGGGTGATCAAGTAGGCTTGGGGAAATGAAGAAAAAATTCATTTTATAGAGAATTTCAGTGAGGAAGAAGGAAATTAGAAAATTAACATTTTGTAATTTCTCATAAAATAAAATAACTAAGGCAATGATCACCAATGAATGAAGCCATCAGATTAAAGGCTGATGAGGAACTTTATAAAGAGATCAGCTACTACCACATGAACCCACTAATCAATTTTAGCATTAATGAAAGCTGGATAGCCTCCCAGTGTGATGTAATATGAAGTACATAACACCAATGCCAGGATTCTTGCCCACGAGTCTAACCTGAATCTAAGCAAGTCTCTAAAGTTAACTTCATTTATAAGAATTATGAAGGATGAAGCTAAATAATACAAAGAAATAACCATTAAAAAAATCCAGAATGGGGGACATTTCACAGGACAACTGGCCCAATTTCTGCAACAGTTCCTGAGAAGGAGAACAAGAAAGTAGGAAATTCTGTATACTAAAAACCTTAAAGAGACAGAACAAGAAAATTAATGTGTGAACCTTATTAGGATTAGAAAAACCAAATGAGAGGCTGGAGTTGTGGCTCAATTGTAGAGTGCTCACCTAGCACACGTGAGGAACTTGGCTTGATCCTCAGCAGCACATAAAAATAAAATAAAAGTATTGAATCCACCTATAACTACAAAAAACAACAAATGAATAAAACATTTTGGGACATATGAGGAAATTTGATTATGGACCAGGTATTAGATAATAACAAGGAATTACCATGGGTTGGAATGATATTCATGGTTGTTTTTTATTTTTTTTGTATCAGGGATTGAACTCATCAGGGGCACTTGACCATAGAACCACATCCCCAGCCCTATTTTATATTTTATTTAGGGACAGGGTCTCATTGAGTTGCTTAGCACCTTAATGTGGCTGAAACTAGCTTTAAACTCACGATCCTCCTGCCTCAGCCTCTCAAACTGCTGGGATTAAAAGTGTGTGCCGCTGCGCCCTGGAAGTCCACGTTTTTAAAGAGAGAAACATTAAATAAAGGGTGAAATGATGTGTTTAGAATTTGCTTTAAAGTATTCCAATTTTTAAAAAAGGGGAAAAGGAGCTAGATAAAAACAAATGTAGCACATTCTGACTTGATGACTCCAGGTTGCAGATATATAAAAAACAGTAAATGTTCACTGGATTCACTGAGATCATAACTGACCTTAACTATTTGACAGAGTAAACAGAAACCAGATTAGTGTGGGCTAAAAGGAAAGAGCACTAGAGGGTGTACTCTAACAATCATTTCAAGTAGTTTGTGAAAGGGAGAAGAGTGATAGTTGAAGTGAAATGTGAAAGTGTGTTTTTTTGTTGGTTTACAATTGTTATTATTGTTTTGAAGAGGAAAAAAACAACTTCAGGTTGTTTTCGATAAAAAGGACACAGAGAAAAGTTGAAGACTTTTTAAGGGTTGGGGAACATAGCTAATGTAGCTAGAAGAATCAACAGCACAAGGGCCCCTCTCAAAGATAGGCATTAAGAGATGCACAGCACAGGTGTAAGAAGAAAAAACTGCTTACAGATGGAGAAAGAGATTTAAAAGTAGGGAAAGTTGAAGGAACTGCAATGAAGGATTCCATCTATTCTTTGAATGGGGGGGGGGGTCAAGGCCATCTGCTAAACTGAGAACAGAGAAATTTGAGATTTTTAGGAAAATAAAGGTCCAAAATAACTACCATAGAAAGTGGGAGAATAAGTTAAAAATAGAAAATTTGTCTGATTACCAAGCAATGCTGAGGTCCCAACTGAGATTGGTTGCACAGAATTTATAGAGGTTATACAATCTTCTGTGTGATTTTTTTTTTCTCAAGCACTATTTGGTTGGACAAATACACAGGCTTGGACTCCCCCCGCCCCCAGGCTAATGGGAAACATTACTAAGGGAATTTAGCATACTGACAAGAGTCACTGATATGTAAGACCATGCAGTCTAAGCCAGTTAAAGAGATTATATCAAACAGACTTGGGAGCTAACCTAAGAGGTAAGCAAAGGTCAAAGATGGAAATATTTAAACATCAATAAGAATAACTGCATTGGATTAAAAAATGCTTGAGTCCCTGACCAAAAAATAGTCAACTTTGAAGAATGTTAGGGAATCAATTCTGAAAAGAGTAATAAAGGGAAAGAATCAACCAAATAGATAAAGTTTGCTTTATAGATAACTCCAACAAACAAATGGAAGAGAAATCAAGGTAAAATAGCACTGTTTCTTACCCCTACTGAATTAATGGATCTAGGTAATGATCATCAATGGCTGCTAACATCATACACGAAGAAACAATCAGATATTATATGCCCTTCTGATGATGAATACACTACCTAGGAAATAGGCTTAAAAACAAAAATCTAAACTATCAATATAAAAAAGCCCCTGGATCCAACTCAACTACTAAGAAATATAGAGGACGTGTTAAACCATACTACAAGAATGCAATCAGGGGAATGAGATTGATCAAATTATGTTATAAACAAGTATGAATGTGGCATAATGAATCCCACTATTATGTATAATTATAATGCACCAATAAAAAAAAATGCAACCAATAAATTTCTAAACAAAAAACTAAGACAAGTAATCTGATGTCTTCAACAAACTGAAAAATAAGAAAGAGCAATAAAAGGAGAACATACAGAGATTTAACACAGGCAATCAATACTATTACACACATGAGAAAAGAAAATGATAATAAAAGAGGTCTATAGTTCCTCTGACTATGAACAAAAAAGGTGGTGGACTTCTGAAGTGGGTAGCCAGGGTCATCTCTCCAGCGTTCATCTTATGCACACTTCAGTAAGCTGAACTCTTGAGTAGTTTTCTGTATTATTTTTAACAAAAAGAATTTAATGAAATGATCCTATACAAGGGACCTTATGATCCTAATCATGTCCATCAGTTTTCTCCACAGTTGCTATCATACACAAACATAAAAAGTAGCTTTTGGTCTCCTTGGAATGTTTATAATTCTTAAAAAAAAAAAAAAGAAGATAATTCACTAAAGCATTTAAAATGATATATTCAATAATGTTAGCTATTATTGTTATGGCTTTACAGTTGAAGATGAAAACCTTATACTTACTATTTTGCTGCTGTTGCTGCTGCTGTGTGTTAAATCCTCCAAATCCCAGTCCAGTTCCCAAACCAGTACCTAAACCAGTACTAGTTCCTGTTGTTGTGCCAAAACCAGTACCAAATCCAAAACCTTTGTTCTGAGTACCACCAAAGAGTCCTTTGAATGAAGAAATAAAAATTGGAATTGCTAAAAAAAAAAGTTGTCCTCTACCACATTTACTTTAACAATGACTTCCGATGGCTTCTTACCAGTAGTGCCTGTGTTAGTTGGGGCAGAAAAGCTGAACGCAGAACCTGCAGTTGTAGATGTTGTACCAAATCCTCCAAACCCACCTAATTAAAAAAGGATAAAAATAGAAAGAAAGATTCTTTTCTACATATAAAGGCAATTTTTCAAATTATATCATAAGTAATTGCTACACATAAAGTCAAAATATATTGATCTAAATTTTCCTTCCTCTACTTTCAACATTAATTTTTTAAAACTATACTAATCAATAAGTCAATATATAACAAGAAATGCAGCTAAATATTTTAAATAGAAATATCACATATATCTTCCACCTAAAGAGGTGATTCTTTTACAGCTGAGAAAACATATAAGCCTACTGCCATAACTCTAAAATGATTATTACGCATTTTCATTATTAATTATTATAGTTATTATTACCTTGAAATGTGATCTCTCTATGTTGACCAGGCTAGTCTCAAACTCAAGATCCTCCTGCCTCAACCTCCTGAGTAGCTGAGATTACAGTTATGAGCCATCATGCCTGGCTCTTACATGTACCTTTTTTGTTTTTTGGTAGCGGGAGTTGAACTCAGGGTCACTCCACCAATGAGCCACATCCCCAGCCCTATTTTGATTTGGGGACAGGATCTCACTGAGTTGCTCAGCACCTTGCTGCTGCTGAGGCTGGCTTTGAACTCACGATCTTCCTGCCTCAGCCTCATGAGCTGCTGGGATTACAGGTGTATGCTACCGCGCCGGGCTCTTACATGTACTTTTAGAGTAGGATTGCAAATTCAAATGTAAGATTTAGACCAATAAAATTAATGAGTAAAGTAGACCAGATGTTTTCTGAACTGTTTTTTAAAAATGACAGCAGTTCCTAAATTCCAGCAGATTATTGTTGCAAAAGAATGGTAGTTTAGTAGATCATAATACTATTCCCATTTCCCCCCCCAAGAGTCAGAAAATCTGAATTTTCTACACAGAATTTACAGTTTTTGGTTTTGTGTATGTGTGTGTTGCTGGGGCTCAAATCCAGGACCTTAATCATGCTAGACAACTACCCCTGCCCTCATTTATAGATTTCTAAATCTTAATTCAATTTCAAATGTTTTAAAAAATAGTGTTGTGGGAGGCTGAGACTGGAGGATTACAAGTTAGAGCCCAGTTTGGATAACACAGCAAGACCCAGTCTCAAGAAAAAGAAAAAAAAAAAGAGAGAGAGACTGAAATTGGCGAATTAATTTATATCTACATTACCTTATATTTCTATTTAAGTCCATGTCAAGACTAAGCAACTTTTCAAAGAAAACATACTACTTACTATATAAGAATGTGTTTCTTAATGGAAGAAATAAGGGGAAAAAACACAAATGGGAGCAGTGGCAGGGAAGATGAGCAGAGCTAGCACCAGTCTCTGAACTACAATGTGGAAACTCCAACAAATGTCTACTTTAGGTAGAAATAACAAATAATAATAACAAAATTAACCTTAACCATATCTAACAACATATGAATGGAATGGAATAGGAGCCAATCTAAAATCATTTCGTTTTTACTTATTGCCAGTTTTTAGCTGATTATCAATGTGATGGCAAAAAACCTTTCAAAGTATATATTTGAAATATTAATACCGAGTTATAACACAGGTTTTCTGAGCTAACTTTAATCTCATGTTCTTGTAATAAAACTGATTCATCAGTATTGCAAAATAAAAGATATAAGAAGAAAAAGCAATTTGATATCACCATTTAATTCTGATTTGGAAAGTTACTCAGAGTAGACTGTGTTTTCCATGTATAGGCACAACTAAATATTCTATTAACTTGTAGGTTTATTGCCATACTGCAAACTAAATGATAAAAAAAAACCTTAAAGTATTAAACACTGTTCTTAATCTTTTCATTACTCCTCACCTTCCACAGAATAACTTATGATATAATCTGAATTGCCTACACACTGAAAACACAAGTTAGTGACTTATCATGTTCCACAATACCAAAAATGTTTTATTGAATTAGTGGATCTGCATGGACACAAAATAAGAAAGTAAAAAGAGTTTCTACCAGTCCTTTGCTGAAAACTAAATTAGTCAACATATGAAAGGCACTGAAACATCATTTTATTATCAAAACTCAAAATTAACCATGATAACTCCAAATCAACATTAAATCAAGCGAATACCAACAGGTTTATTTATTGTTGTTGAATTATGAGCTGGGTGGCTTTACTTGGAAACACAAACTTCAAATTAAAGTTTGTTTTACCCAGTGCCAATTTTAAGCAATCAGGAAAGTAAACATACCAAAGGACAGTAATTAGTGTCCACTTCAAATATATCTTAATGATAACAGGTTATTTTATCTTTGGAACTTAAACTATTTCTCAAACTGTTTTCAGATGCTAAGGTAATAGTCTTATTTCAGTAACAAGTGAATGAACAAAAATACATAACTTTCCAAGCATGTTTTAAGAAGTAAAGAAAGTTTACAAAATGCATATAATTGGCATGGGCATAAAAGGCATAATGGATGAAAAATTCATATACGAGCAGCTGAAAAACAAGATTTTTCTATGGTATCATTATATGTAAAGTATACATAAATCTATTTTAAATTCAGACATATATCTATTATTGTTTGTGTCTTGAAAAAATTTTGATGAGCTTCAAACAATCCATAAACAATCTTCATAATTATCTTTTTGAATGCAAAGACACCTGGTCCACCTTTTAAAACTCAAAATGTTATCTAATAAGTTAAATTTCTCTGAGAATTTCCTAAAAATCCAGTAAAGATGTGGATAATTTTTCCTATAATTATATGTCTTATAGAAATATATCCTAATCTGATGAGTTGACCAAAGAAGTACATTATTTTAAAAGGGTTATAAAACAAGACTTACTGCTGTTCGTATAAGACTGTTTCTCTTGGAAACACAAGAACAATAAAATGATATCCCAATGAAAAATGCAAAAAAAAAAAAAATGAAAAATGACTGCAGGAGTCCAAGAATTCCAGGAAAATCAGCCTGTCTGGTGAGCTTACAATTTGAAAGACATATCTAATAATTTGGAAGATATAAAAATTCATTCCAAATTCTTATTTTATTCGTTCAATGAAATGCAGATTTAACAAGGGAACCTTATAACTTGCAAGGCCTTCCAAAACCCACATAATTTAAGACAGTCACCACTTGATAAAAATGTTTTATTTTCGATTTTCATTAAGAAATAAATTTCCTTCCCTTATTAGACAAGTCACTGTTCTTTCCCAAACTCTGGAAACCATGAAATATTATTCTTGGACTCCAGCTCCCAACACTCGTTTATGACCCGCAGTTATCTACCTGCACTTGCCAGACTGTTACCAAAATTGAACGGAGTCGCCGAGGTAGTAGAAACACCGAAATTCCCAATATTAAAGTTCACTGCAGGATTAGCAGTTAATCCGAAACCCCCAAAATTAAACCCACTGGCGGTGGAGTTGGCAGTCTCAAGCCCACCAAATCCTGATAGGCGTGCAGGCAAAGAAACAAAAATTTAAAAGGGGGAAGGGGAAGAAGAAGAAAAAGAAAAAGAAAGTAAGATAAGGATTACAAGATTCAGCAAGGGATTTCACAGAAGTGAACAAACCTACTTCGCTTCAAATAGGTTGAGAAAGCAGAGGAGATGGGGACACAGAGGGAAGGAGCAGGAGCGTGAATTCCCTCGGCGAAGACCACTAAGGGCTTAGGCACCGCCCCCCCACTCCGCCCCAGGGCTAGGACGAAGGAGTCTCCGGGCAGCTCGGGGCTCCCCAACCTTATACTCGCCCGAACCAGTGTGTATTCCCGCCTGGCCAGGAGGCTGATGCGGAGAGGAGCTGGGGGTGTCGGGTACGAGGAGATCGGAGCAGTCTCCAACCTCTACGAGTAGGACTCCTCATGGGCGGGAAGCAATCCGCGGGAGGATGGAGCCCCGCGGGGACCCAAGCGCAGGGCGCGAGATCCAGATAGGGCCTCGAGTACCCCAGCGGCCTCCTCAGGAACCGCCTCCACCCGACCTGCGGCCGCCCACCCTCTTCCATTGCCCCCCTAAAGTGTTTTGCGCGGTCGGGAGACCCAGGATCTCCAAGCCCGCGTCTCGGACCCGGGAGATGGACCAAAAGCTTCCCCAGTTCCGAAAAGGTCCGGGGGATAACTTACCCGCGGGGGCCGCGGTGGCTGCAGCGCTGCCCGAGGTGCCCGAGGGAGCCCCAAAATTGAAGGCCATGTCGCGGGAGCGGGGAACCAAACCGGACCAAAGAGCTGCTCCCGCGACGCGACGCTCAGTACGCTCCTCTTTTCCGTCCGGAAGAGAAACCACCAGCCGCACTACAGCGTTCCGCCCCTTTCGGGCCTAGCCCAAGAGGCGGGAACAGACCCTGGGCGTAGTGGGTGGAGAGTCGAAAGGGAACGCCCAGGACCCGCTCGCTTCCGGGGGGGTGTTTCGTGGCTTCACGTGGCGTGGAGCGTCACAACTCAGGAAAATGCTGGAGAGCTGGCCAGGATGTGCCGCCTGCCTGAGCGCCCTTAGAAATTGCCATAGCGGGGTTCTTTGGAAAAGTTCTGCAGGGGCCGAAGTTGTTACTGTAGAGATGGGCGGTCGGCCGCTTGGGATGAGCTCGTGCTGGAGAGTACATGATGCTGACCCACTAAAAAGAGGGCCTGGGATCTGGGGAAGGCTCCCTGAGGAAGTGATGTTTGAACCCAGCCCTGAAAGCTGAGTTGGAGAAGCAGAGGCAGAAAGAGGAGGCATGTCGGAAGAACTGAAAGATAATTGTGTAGTGGCAACACGTTATGTGTACCATGTGCCAGGCAGTCTGCTTATCATTTTACACTATTTTAATCCTTAACTGTCCAAGGAGACAGTTGACGATTGTTGACGATTATTCCTATTTTATGGTGGAAGTAACAGGTACTGGAGAGGTTGTACTCTTGACCCATAAACAGTAAGGTGAGCACTGAGAATAGAATGGGCCCTGCTGAAGCCATTGAGCCTTGTAACTGCTGACATCTGTGCCCCTATTAGTCCTCGCAATAACCTACAGAAGAGTCTGTTGTTAAGCCCTTTTGGGTTGAGGTAGAGTTGCTAAGCAGATTACCCAAACTACCCCAAATCACCTTGCTAGTAAGTTTTGGAGCCTAATTTTGAACTCAGGTTTCTTGCCTCCAAAACCCAAATTTTTTTAAATTATAAAGATATTTAGACAGAACAAATTTGAAAGTAGAGAAAAGAGACAATATCTCAGAAAGGAAAAATAATAAAAGGTAATGACATGGCTTACTTGTGGAGAGTTTTCACATAATCCCAGTAATTATGATCCAAAATTATAACACAACTCCCTACTGAAAAGATGGGGGAAATAGAAAAAAAAATATGAGGGTATAGGGAAAATGGTAGGAAAGAGCCAGTCTTCATCCTTCATAGATGGGAGTCTGGGTAATACTAAAATTTTCAATTTTAAAATAAATAAATAAACCTGAAAATATACAAAGCAGATGCTATCTAGAGTCAAGGGGCTAAATTTGAAAAAAGAGAGACTAAAAGAGGTACCATTGTGTGTTGGTTTTTTTTTTTAATACCATACTTTGTAGAATTCTGTATGTGCTTGTATAGATAATTTTAATAAAAATAAAAACATAAAAGCCCATGTATCTATCAAAAACTTAACGAATGTCCATTGCTACTGCTAGGAATTTACCTTATAAATGACTTGGCAAAAGGTTATTCAATATTGTATTACTTTAATGATAAATGGTTGGAAACAGGGATTTGGCTAAATCAATTGTTGACATTTTTACAAAGGGGTATTATTCAACCATAGACTTGGAACAAAAAGAAAAGCTCTTTATGCATTAATAAGAAAGCTCTCAAAAGATAAATCTCACATACACACACAGGTACAAAACAATTCAGAACAACTATAGTATGCCACAATTTGGGTTTAAAAAAGAGAGAGCTAGAAAATATAAATATACATATTCAAAATATTCCTGGAAGATATACTTTTTTAAAAAAACAATATTGGTTGTATCTGGGATAATGAATTGAGTGGCTAGGAGATAATAGTAAAGGAAGACTTTTCACTTTTTGAAAATGTAAAAAGGTTACTTATTTAAAAATTAATAATATGCTAACAGTCATTATTGCCAGATTCCTAGTGAAAGCTATGATATGCAGGTGAGGATGAAGACTGAAAAATGATTGGTTGATGCAATGTAAAGGGGAGGGAAAGTGTCTATCAGGAATCTCTGGTTTCTGGCTTGAACAACAAGACAGATTGTGATGCCATTTCACATTTTGGAAAATGAGTTTTCTTTACTTACTGACTTGAGGACAAGGTGACTGGGGATATCCAACAGGTGTTTGGATTTGTGGGGTTGAGATGGAGCAGAGAGATTCATGTGTAGATTATAATTGAAAGCAGGGAAATAAATGCTATTATTAGGGAGAAAGTATGAAGGGAGGGAGGTTTCAATTGTGCACCTTTTGTTTTGTTTTGTTTTGTGGTGCTGGGATTGAACCCAGTGCTTTGTACATGCACATGCAAGGCAAGCACTCTACCAACTGAGCTACATCCCCAGCCCTGTGCACCATTTTTAAGAAGAGAGCCGAGACCCCTCATGGGAGCCTAAGATAGAGTGTCCAAGTCCAGAACTGTTAAGGTCTGTAAACAAGTCTGGATGGCGCCTGGCATTTTGCCAGAGGGAGTGGTTTGTGAAGTAACTCCAGCCAGCCATTAAGTGTGGAAATTCCTTATTGGTTGACTGATGTATCTAGTTTATGTTAATTAAGATAAGCTCTGTGGAATGTATAAATACCTCTGTTGTCCTACAATAAATGGCTCCCACTCCTGCTGTATCAATGTACACAAGTTGTTCGTAACCCCCGGTTATTTTGCTGCAGCCGGACTGCAGCACAGAACATTGCCTATTTTTGTAAAATACAGCTTTATTGGAACACAGGCACATCTTTCACAATTGTTTATAGCTGCTTTCAGGCTGCAAACAGCAGAATTGATAAGTTTTGGCAGAGCATAACTAATGCCAGCATGTGGCTGTGGCTGGCAAAACCAAAACTATTTTCTATCTGGTCCTTTGCAGAAAAAGTAATAATCCCAACCTAGACTTCTGCAGGGGCCCTTGTAGAGCCGTGAGCAGGACTATCTGAGTGTGACCCAGGCAGTTCATTCTGGGTCACCTGGAAAATGAATTAGCTGTGGCTGGAGTAACCCTCTTCTAGTAAGAAGCACCCAAACTCAGGGTCCCATGGAACCAATGCCATCTCCCCAGCAAGATTGTAACATTCTAGGGACAACTGGCATTCCCAACTAACAGTAAACCAATGGCAGTCCAAATCCAAACCACCTGTTGCTATGACTGCTTCTTCATGCTTCTCCTATTGGAAGGAGGATGAGCAGGGAGACACATTCTCCCTACAGAGACCACTGTGACCCTCAACTTACTTCCCCATGGGCTAGCAGGAGGATGGAGAGTCTGTACCTTCTTTTATTCTGACAGTCTTCACCTTGTACATTTTAACTTCTCCCCCATAAAACCCATTCCTTAGCCCATGCTATATGGCTTTGTGGAATTCATCAGGAAGGATGGCATATGACAGCTGAAAACAGAATACCTATCTTCCCTATCAGTGGGGACATCAAAAGGACCCACTTGGCACTACAGCCTTCTAGCATTTCTCTGCATTCATGTCCACTTTTCTAATTCATTCTTCACCTGAAGCTACAATGGGTCTTTCTAAACAAACCTGTTATCTCACTTACCTTCTCCTCACAATCCAGTTTAAAATACTTCAGTAAATTACCATTGGTCTTAAAATAAAATAAGCCAAAATACCAAAATCTTTATATAGCTCAATGTGACCCAACATGACATGGCCCCTCCTTTCTCCACAGCCTTAGCTTCCCGTTCTGAACTCCAGCCAAACATCTCAAGTCACTTGGAGTAAATATGCTTCTTCCTGCTCTTGGGCACATTCATTCCTTCTGTCTGAGATGCTTTGCTTTGCATGAAATTTAGTTGAATTATTACATTTACCTGTATGATCGTTTAGTTACTATTTTTCCCACTAGACTATAAGGTTCATGTCTCTTTTTTGGTCATCAGTAGCCTAGTTTATGGTTTAGTACCTGGCATATAGTGGATGCCCAATAAAATTAGTTGAGCACATTTTTAGGTATAATGTAGAAAAGTCAGGCCTTAGTAGCACATACTGTATGATTGTGTTTACATTAAATGTGTGGAAAAGGCAAATCTATAGAGACAGAACGCAGCTTAGTGGTTCCCAGGGACTGGGTAAAGGGAATGACTGTAAACTGGCATGAGAGATTTTATTGAGATGATGAAAATCTTATAAAATTGTACAACTCAGTAAGTTTACTAAAGATCATTCTATTGTATATATAAAAAGGGCGAATTTTATGGTGTGTAAACTGTATGTCAAGGTGTTTAAAAGTTTAAAAATAGTTGAACAAGTGGAAGAATATAATTGCTGGAAATGGAACTTTCATCTTGTTATACACGTACACATGTTTCTGGTTTTTGTGTTCTACACCTTTCACCTTATACCATACTGTCTTAATTATTGTTCCTGGGTATGTTTTAATACCTATTAGCCTTTTGAATATGTTTTCTGGATTTTTCTACTCCTTGATTTGAAATAATTAGGCTTGGTATGTTACAAAGTTCCATGTGTCTTTATATATCTTTGGTTAAGAAGATACAGATTTAGAGGATCCTCTCTGGAAGCCTTCCGGTTGGACCCCAAAACTGAAGGAGAAAAGACTAAAGGTATAACATTAGACCTTGCCTTCTCAGCCAAAGGGATTAAGCCCTAGGCTGGAGAAGTGGTGGATGAAGACTGGTTTCTGTGTTCTTCATGGGCCTGTAACAACCTCTAAGTGAAGTAGGGATGGAAGGAGCAGGAAAAGCCCAAAGCCGAAGGGGCAGAGCCAAGACTCCGGGGTTACTGAGGACCTCCTTTCTGTCCTCTGGTGGCATTTAGCTACTTTGAAAAATGGGGAGAAACTGTACAGAGTCTTACTATCTGGTACACAGTAGGTGCTTAACAATTACTGAAAGAACAAATAAATGGTGCGATGCTCAAAAAAAAAAAAAAAGATGATGATATAGGTTCGAGGCATTCCCCTTGTGACACAAACCAACTGAAATTGGATTTGGGATTCCTAGGAAAGGCATATGCTAGGGACCACGTCCTTGATGTATAGGGACATTTGTAACACAGAGCAAGGAACTGTATGACTGATCTGGATCTTCTCTGATTTGAGGAATAAGATGCAATATTGAGAAGGGAAAAATTTTGAAGATGATCTGAATTTTTGGACTAATGATAGGAATAATAATTCCTAATATTGGAATTGTGGAATAATAAAAGTCCCAGTGTCCCTAGAAACAGAAGCTTCAGAACCTCTCCAGTAGCTTTCTTATCCTCCTGAGCACTTCTGGGTGGATTTGTCTGCATTTTACTTGCGTGTTCCTGAAGGCAGATTTGAGATAAGGATATTAGTGCAGATAGATGATTTGAGAGGAAGCAGCAGCTCAGGCACAAGACCAGTGAGGCAGAATGAGGAAATGCTAATAGAAAGCAGCTCCCACTGTGCCCAGTCCTGGTTCAGGAGCCATCTTGAATAAGCATGGGCACTGCTCCTCTGTGGATTAGAACACTGATCAGCTCATTGTGCCTTCTTTGATTTAGGGTGGCTCTTGTATTATTAGCTCTCCCCACACTCCTTTGGGGCTTCCAAGGGCTCTGGAGAAACCCCCGAGGCAGAAAAGCAGAGTATGGGACCAATTGAGGGTAGCCTGAAGGGGTGTGCCTCAGGGCTGCATCTGTTAAGATGTATTTTTTAAGAGAAACTCCATAGACAACTGGACATCAGATGACATATGATTCTCAGTGAACTTTTATATAAAGTTTTTTTATTAGTGAAATATTTCATTGCATTAAGGGTAGAAATAAATCAGGCCAAGAATCACATGAAATAAACCAACTGTATAAGATACATGAAGAACATTCTGACACAAGCAGTTTACTCCAGTAATAATGTCCAGAGGGCCAACTATGAGGATCATTTTTGGCAGAATTCATGTCTCAAGCAATTTAAATTAAAAATTAGTCTTCCTTAAGTAAAAACCCCAATAGGGGTTAGTTGTGTAGTGCTTATTCCACTTGACCATTAGTGATCTTTCTAGAACATGATGAAATAAAGTCTAATGGGAAAAGCCGGGAGCTAAAAGTGGCAACGGCCATTTCCTGCCCTGTGCTCAACTCCCAGTTTTCCCTGCCTGCCATGCTGTGATCACAGCAATGTTGACAATCACAAAGCCTTTGGGGTCTTTCCAGGATGATGGCTGCAAGGGAATAAGCAAGAGGAACAGTTTGCTATTTTCAACCTAAAATCAAATAGGAATAATCATTCTTCTTAACCAACCTATAATTTTGACTATAGTTTATGGATTTGCCACAGACTTTTCAGAAGGAAAATATCAAATGTAGTTTTAAGTTGTCACTGTTAAGAATCATGGCACAAAAATATAATCAATGTATATTTGGTCTCCTTGCCTATATGAAATTTAGTCTAAATGTGTACATCATTTATAGTATTTAAAAGTCTTCTCACAGATGTTCATATCCTGAGAACAGAACCAATGAGTATATACTGGCCTATCCATTTCATTAGTGTGGATAAGTAGATACATGATGAACAAAATATTCCAATTATATAATTAAATATTGATAAATATTTAATGTAGGTATTTGACATTATTGAAGACCAAATATATTTGATATAAATTTTCATGTTTTGATGATTTGTGGTATCTAAGGTTTTTATGTTGATTTATAGAAACGTTTGAGTGTATAATGAATTGCCCCTTCAAGAAGGGAAACACATTATATATTGCTTTAGTCTATAGAGAAGAAAAATTTGGGCATGTAAATTAACGTGATTTATTACTTCCCTGTAGGGCTAAGAAACTATGTAAGTGAAATCCATGATTTTTTTCTTCATTTGCTTACAGTGAAATTCAGTTTTAAACAAATATCAAAAAAATCCCTTCGAATGATTCAGTTGATAGGAAGTTCTATAGGCACTTTGCCAGATAACTGTATAGGCTTCTCAATTAAAAATGCATGGTGAACTTTGAGAATCAAAGAAAATACCCTTGAATCCTGAACACTGTGACTAATGATGATTCCCAATCTTCTGCCTTTGGTTACACTGAAAACCAAGAAGTATTTTGAAGAGACTTGTCTCTGCTTCTCATCCCAAGGGGACCTATCTTTAAAGCACATTAGGTGTAGTACTTTACTCGTCATTCTGTCAGCAAAATGATTGTCGCAGGAAATGTAGGGCATTTTCTCTACTCAGTGAATGACAGTGAGCCACAAAACACTGGAAGAAACTGAATCTGAGGAAAGAATTTATAAAGTTTCAAGTTACCAAGAAGACTGCTGAAGAAGAAATGTCTTTCTGATCTAGACAGACTCCCTGAAATTTATGTGTAACTTAGGCTATGGATGGGTAGATTTTTTATATTCATAATTTTACCCAAAAAAATCACTCAGTAGTATTGAGTGGGGGATCACTGATTACATCCTCCCAGAAGCATCTTTCCACATCAAGATAATTTTGACTAAAAGTAAAGTTAACTATCTACAAATATCATACCTAGCATTTAGTTCTACTCTACATGAAATATCTGGAGCTATCCTCACCAAGCTTACTTATGCATTCTCTTTGTTCACAAAAGTACAACTTAAAAATCCTTAGGAGCATATCACTATCCACTCATGGGTACCACCTCACCTGATCCCTTCCCTGCTTGATTCCCACACAGTATGAATGTAACCAGAAGACCATGTTATTTTCCTGGAGGAATTTGAACTAAAGACTAACATGAAATGCAATATGTAATGTTTTAAAGAGGAAATCAAATGCATTTGAATAATGTACTGGAAAAGGTTATCATTTTACCCTGTATTCGAAACTCTTATTTACTTTTGTTTGGGGAGTGAAGTGGAGGAATACAACATAAAGTAGTATATACGTATTTTGAGCACAAAATTTGGTGAATGAAACATATTGACAGGTAGTATTAACAAGAGATGCAGAGACATTATATCTACAACTGGTCACAAAATTCTGTAGCTACCCAACAACAAAAAATGACTATACAAGAGTTTATTAAATACTTGCTAGACACATAAAAAAACAGTTTCAGAAACCATGTGATTTTCATGAAGCATAATGGTCAGCCATGTCAGTCTGCTCTTCACCTCTGGCCAACATGCTGTCATCACTTGCCAGCACTGTCTTCTCTCTCCTAACAGGCGAGGAGTCTACGAGGATGTGAAGTTTCCCCTCATCTGTTTCAGGACAGTTCACATGTTCCTTCACCAAGCTCAAGTGATGGTTAAATTCAGTTAGGTTCGTATGAGTGGTGCTCTTTCATCTGCTGTTCCCTGAGATACAGAAGACAGACAGAAGGGAAGTCAGGTGTTCATGTCAGAAACTGCCCCATATGTGAAGAATTGGGGTTGGGGTGGTAGGTGGAGGAAGATGGAGGAAGACAGCCTAATAGTGTGATCAGTAAGTGTGGCCTGGGCTAACACAGAGAAGGGTGCTTCTCTCGTATAGGCGTGAAAGTGGTCAGAAAAGGCCTACTGGAGAAGGTTACGTCTGAAGCTTCTTAAGGGGCCCTTGAAGCAGCAGTCCAAGAGAAGAAATGTGAGTGGATTCCATTCCCACCAAGAAAGCTCCACTCTATCCCCCTGCCTTACTTGACACACTCTTCTTTGACACACTGCCTTGCTTACCATTTGGTCCATCAATAATGTAACCAGGAAATCATTGTGCTCCCACATAGAAAGCCCCAGAATCCATCCTACTGAGCCAGCTAATGGCCCTTCAATGAAGCACAGTTGAGGAATCCTCTTGAAAGTTAACCAAGTAAGGGAGAAAGAAGTTCATTTAATCAGTACTCACCTCCTCCATGGATCCCTGTCCTCGGCAAGCCAGCCAGGTGAAGACCAAACCAAAGAATACACCCAGTGCCATGATGATGTAGGGTATGTTGGTGATAATCAAAGTAGTGTTAATCACAGACTTTAGTCGACTAGCAGTCTCTTTATCAACGAGAACACTCTGCGAAGCAAGAACATAATATTCCCTTGATGACTAAGTATCAGGAATAATGGTTTTCTTTCAAATCACTGAACACAATTTGGTTTTGTCCTTTTGTTAGCAAGCCACATATATTGAAAATTGATTTATATATTAGAGTAACCAGAGGAGGAATTTATTCATGAATATCTTTTCTCCTGAAGACATATGTTACTCTTAACATAAATTATAAAAGAGTGAAAAATAATTCAGAAATGCTGAGATAATGCATTTTGTATCAGATAATTTCTTCAAAATCTGGCTCAGCATTGCTTCCTTCCAGAAGTTACCTCTGGCCACCTGACAAAAGGCCTGTTCTCTAGACTTCCTCCTCACCCTATGGAACCTCCATTTGTTGTTTCTGCATTCCCCATCATAACTGTGGTTTACCTGTTTATCTCCCAGTGACTGTAGGGTCAGTGAATGTAAGACATCTCAGTCACCTCTGCCACTGGATACAGCACCCAGCACAAATAAAGTGACCAGTTAATCCTGGTTGACTCCATGGATGAATGAAACACTCCAAAAATGGTGCATGGAAAGTGTCATTTCTCTCTTGATTCATCTATAGTAATCAGGACCAGATGTCTTAACAGAAAGTTCAGGTAAGTTGTAGGGCTACCCAGAATTCCAGAGTGTTTTCAGCATGCAGTGCAGAGGAATTCTCATCTAGTGTCATGAATGAGGTATCTAAAGACCATAATCCCATAAAAACTAAAGGCAACAATTCTGACTTAATTTGCATTGGAGTGAGTCACAAGATGGAATGGCGATTCTTTCAAAAACTGGCCAATACTCCTCAGGGTCAGAATTTCCTTATTGGTAAAAAGATGTTGAGGCAGGAATCTCCAAGGTCATTTCCAGGTCTAATATTTCATTTTTCTAGAGAAGAGAAAAACTGAACTTCTAGGAGACAGCAAAAGCAAAAGCTTTTATTCAATGTTTTGGGATTAAATCAGGTATTTAACAAAAAAGCAAAGCAAAAGCTAGGGGGAGAGCACTTCAAAAATGCCACTCTTCTGAACTCAAACTGGCAGGAAATCATCTGTCTGTACTGTCAAAAAGTTCTATGTTTGTGTCCTTCCCCACAAACAATCACAATGACAATTCCTGGAGTGATCTCAACCAGGTCCTCTAAATTGGCAAATACTGGCTGAATTTTTCCTATGAAACAATAAGGCTTGTCTTAGAACTGTAATCATAATTTATAAACATGACCATCAACATAATGCTAAATGAAGAAATAAACGATGCAAACCTGCATCTATGGTATTATTTCAATAACTCATAATATCAAAACTAGAAAAATACTTGGAGGCAACAAACATCTGAAGATGTCAACTGTCCTCCTCAAGGACTGAAAGTCTTATCAGTGCTTTACTTTATACACTTTTTTTTTTGTCATTTCCCAACAGTTCTACAAAGGGCACAGGTTTTACTAAATAGAAAACATTAATCTTTGTTTAGTTGTCTCTGGAAAAAATTTTTAGAAAACACTGAGAAATAAAAACGATACCTTAAGTGGGCATTAGATTTTGTGAATAGTGATTTAAAAAATTATTTTTCTTACTAATTTCATTAAATTTTCTATGAATAACAAGTATCTTAAGGAAATGGAGAGAAATAATAAAAACTTTAAAATGCAACTGTTAATAATAGAAGTTTACCAATCAATAATTTATTATTATTTTCTTTTTTATTGTTATTCTTACATTACAATTCTTAATACACCTTTATACCACGATTTATCATATCTCTGATTGTATATAAGGTATGTTGACACCAAATTCACATCTTCATACATGTATTTTGTATAATGATGAGCGTCTCCTTCCACCATCCATGGTCAATAATTTATTTAAGGAGAAAAACTTACATGTTTTCCCCTTCAAAACTAGATGAAAGAGGGGAAATGAAGACATATAATCACAGTAAATCAGATACGTGATTTTAAAGAGAGTTATCACAGGGGTCTTAAACTGACAGGGTTTCAAAGAAGGAGGCAGAGACTTAAGACATATACTTGAGCTCTGGCTATTCTGCTTTAGCAGAGCTGGACAATGCCTCATTTCACTTCTGCATTTTTTTTCTCACATAACCAGTTCCAGAAGGGAGTTTTACCCAACTAATGTTTCTGAGAAGGAAAAATTCTGTCATTTCTCCAAAACTCCCAGACACAGGCATTGCCATGTAAACATTTTTAAGAGAAATTTTCCGAGGACAAACAGTTTTAAAATCATCTTTCCTCCAGCATGGCATGTGTCTGTAATCCTACCCACTCCAGAGGAAGGAGGATCACAAGTTCAATGCCAGTCTGGAGAATTTAATAAGCCTCTCTCTCAAAATACAAATAAAGGGCTGGGGGTACAGCTCAGTGATAAAGCACTTGCCTAGCATGTGCTATTCCCAGAACCCGCTCCTCTACAAGTATCTTTCCCCACTTTTTCATATCTTAAATTATTCAGAGCTACAATAGAAGACATTATAATGGAAATTTTCCAAGACTAGACAGTTAAAACATACCTGTGGCTCCCTCCCTCTCAAAACTTACCTCATTGAGATACATCACCGGGAAAACCATGGTTCTAATGTCTCCTGTTTCACTACAAAGACAAATGATGACATTATTTAATAGTTTTCCTCATCACCTGGAGAACATGTTTTTATAAAAATTTCAGTACATGTTTTTCATTAAATTACTGAAATTTACAGCAGACTTCTTAGTTATGTTTGCAAACATCAATCATAAGTTATATTTCAGTGTGTCAGTCTAGCAACTCCAAGGGTTGCACTTAGATTATCATTGTATTATTATTATTATTATCATCATCTTATTAAAACACAAATCACTGAAATTAAACTCATCAAAATGATCACTGTTCTCCCTAGAATCATCACAAGAAGACTATTCCAGATAGAACAATGCCACTGTTCCTCAGAAAGGTTTGTAACTAGGCCACTTAAGTACTAACTTTGAAACAAGAGTCAACTAAATGTTTTTCATGTGCCAGCTTTGTGATGGGTGTTTTGAGGACATTATTTGATTCAATTTTTGATGGCAGTCACATGCAGAAGGCATTAATAAAGATTTACAGCTGAGAAAATTACAGCTCAGAGAAGATAATTTGCTGAGAATTGCCAAGAGCAGGTGGTGGAGCCAGAATTGTATTCCAGATTTTAGCTACTAAATTATATTGCCTCTTTAATACATATATGCAGGGTTTTTTTTTTGTTTGTTGGTTTGTTTTTCTTTTTTTGTTTTTTGAGACAAAGTCTCACTATGTTGCCCACACTGGTCTTGAACTTTTGGGCTCAAGCAATCTTCTTACTTTTCCTGCTTTAGCCTCCCAACTACCGGGGACTAAGGTACACTCCTCCATACTTGATTGAGAAAGCATATTCTTACAAACCCCATTTGCTTCTTAAAAAGAACCATGACATTAAGATTAAATTTGGTGAATTCAATGGGGAAACAAAGCAAGATGATAGATAAATAGAATAGGACAGTATGTACAGTTTTGCATCCTGTTTTTCATTCAACATTTTATCATAAGCATTTTCGCATAGCTAAAAAAAGTCCCATTGACAGTTTGGGCAGGAGGTTATACTTAAGAATTCTATCTAAGGAGTGGTTTAAAGGTGGAAAATGGGAGGAAAAGCCTGGACTCAAGAAACTCTTTTAACTGTCCAAATGAGACTTTTGGCTGGCCCCATATGGGAGCAGAAACAGGGAAGGGATGGCAACCAGAGTCATGGTGTATGATGGGAAAGGCTCGATGGAGTAGGCTAAAGCAGGTTGTATGCACAAGTCTTACTAGCTGTGTGAGCTTCAGCAAGTTTCTTAAATTCTCTGTGCCTTGGTTTCCTCATCTGTAAAATGAGGATACTACAAAGCTGTAAACTAAGGACTTAGAACATCTACAGAAATCATTTGATTAAACAAAACAAGTAAATTCTAAGACCTTGGCACCCATGAAAATGCTGATCATTTCCCCTCCCTGAAGAATGGGGTGAGCAATTAGACACTGCCCCACCAGAAAGTCAAGGTAGCAAAACTAGTTTCTTGCTTCTGTAGAAAAAAGCAAAACTTACATAAAGTCATCTAATTTTCTGACATAAATGTTGATTTGGAACCTCTTGGATGCTCTTAAGATAATTCCAGTCAACTGCAAATCAGAAGTGAGAAGAGAACATTAGGATTTATTATATCACAAACATGATATTTTCAATCAAGCATCATTTCTATGAGGCTCTGATAAACAGGCGGCTATTACCATGTTTAATGGGCAGAGTAATACAAGGGAAAACTGAACAAGAATTGATCGTGTCAGGTAGACCAATGCTTTCATATGAATGTGAATCCTTGGGAATTCTATAAAAATTCTGATTCAGTAAGTCTGGAGTAGGGTCTGAGACTGCGCATTTCTAAAAAGCTCCCAGGATACTGCCACTTTGCATGGCAAAACCTGAGAGGATCCCAGCAGGAAGGACAGCCCCAGATCCCCTGTCAGGGCTGGACAATTGTCCAGAGCTAAGAGGAGGATGGTGGTCCCATCTAGGGAATGGCATCCAAGTCTAGGCCTACATCACAGAGCCCAGGAAGAGTAACTACATCAGTTGTCTTCCCCAGGGCAGCTCCATCTTTGCACTAATAGAACCATGTCCACCCCTTGGCAACAAGCACTGCACTCCGTTGGCTGATGAGAACTGATTGGTGGCTAAGAGAGAAGGAAGAGAGTCACACCTGATCTCATTCAACGAAGGGTAAGATCACTGGTTCTCAGATACCGATGTGATGAGTGTAGCTGAGAGTGAAATGCCCATGAAATGTGGTACTAAAAGAATATTGTTGCGGGGCTGGGGATATGGCTCAAGCGGTAGCACGCTCGCCTGGCATGTGCGGGGCACTGAGTTTGATCCTCAGCACCACATACAAATAAAATAAAGATGTTATGTCCACCGAAAAACTAAAAAGTAAATATTAAAAAAAAGAATATTGTTGCTTTTCTTTATTATCCCATAATGTTCAAAGTTCCAAGATAAAGTTATCTGACCTGATTTAGCCTCTACAGTGAGAGACTCTCACATTGTGAAATGATATTCCTATCATTTCAACATGGTTTTAGTTTTTCTCCTCTGTGAATACAGGATCAAAAATGCATAAATAGATCTGATGTTTTAAAAATTAATAATATCATATAATAAACTCTCAAAAGTACCATAGAAAGAAGTTTACCACAAGTGACTGAAGCTAATATACATATTTAAATTTCAGCCAAAATGTTCCTGACAGTGAGCAAGCAGAAAGATGTCTTTAACCTTACTGATTTGTGTCCCAATGGGAAAAACATATATATGCTCAGGTCCAGGGTTGGCAACAGAAGACGAAGTTAGTTACATGGATCCAATCTCAGGTGTTTCCAATAGCTGAATTTTCACTGCTGCTTCCTCCATCCCTCCTTCCTTTTTTTTTTTCAAGTAAGTTTGAAGGTGTTTCTGCATATTAGATCCTCAGACTCAGCCCTCTAATGACAGGGCTGTAAGACCATCCCTCAACCTGCACTGATCTACCTTTTCTTCCCCACTTGAAGGAATACACATATGTAAAAAAGTGTGTTTCTTAAGATGCTCAGGACTAAGTGAACACTGCATATACAGAATAAAAAATATACTCTTTTACCAAGAAGAAGTGTGTACTTACAGGATTAATGTCCACAAATGTCTCATGATCTTCCTTATTTGGATGCATGCCATGTATGGCAGAAACAAACTTCTCATCTGCCTGGTAAAAGTGTGGGAAAGACATAATAATGGGTGCACCTGCATTTTAATGGAAATAGAAATGAATGAAGGTGGTTATTAAATTTTTAAAATATAAAATGTATATAAAGTTCCTGAATACAAACTTGGTTCCTAAAGTAAAAAGAAAAGCCATACATAAACTTGAAGACAGTAGACAAACTAAAATACTTTTCTGTACCTCCTAATTCAAGACTTATGCATCATTTTCTGCCATCTCATATACCCCACATTATTTTATTGCACATTATATATACAGAAGTCCTTGCTAAATTATTTATTCTTCAACAAATATTTATTGAACCTATAAAGTGCAAACTTTATGTACATTAAGTAATACTCCTAGTAGTTTTATGAAATTAGAATTAATATATCCTTGTTTTGCATTTGTAGAAGCTGAGGTTCACAGAAGTTACAAAATTTGCCCAGGGGGCTGGGTGTGGTGGCACACACTTGTAACCCCAGAGGCTGAGTCAGGAGGATCGAGAGTTCAAACCCAGCCTAGCAATGGTGAGGCTTTGCTAAGCAAGTCAGTGAGACCCTGTCTCTTAATAAAAAACAAAAAATAGGACTGGGCATGTGGCTCAATGGTGGAGTGCCCCTAAATTTAATCCTCAGTACCAGAAAAGAAAAAGAAAGAAAGAAATTTTCCCAGGATATGTAGCTCTCAGGTTAGGAAGGCAGAATTCTAATTGAATAAGGACATCCCACCTCTAAGTACCCATTTCAATTGCAATTCTTTGGGCTGGCAGTCTGGCTCAGTGAGAGAGTGCTTTCCTAGTAAGTATCTTGTTCTGGGTTCAATGCCCACCACCAAGAGAGGAAAAATTCTCTACCAGTGAATAGAAATGTATTTTTTCCTTGTTTCTGCTTTTTTTTTAAATTTATTTTTTATTATTTACCAAAGATAAACTTTGTGCTCCTGGATATGTTGATGAAAGAATTTTTAAAGAGTTTGCCTGGCATAATGAATCCTACTATTATATATAATTATAATGCACCAATTAAAGAATTAAAAAAGAGAGTTTGCCTGGTTGTGCTGTACGTCTGTTAACCAGATCAAGGTTTGCCCATATGAAGACGGATTTTTTTTCTTTCTTACTCATTTTAAGAACTGAACAGAGAAATAATTATTAAAGGAAATCTATTCCAGATCTGGATACTGAAAAGAAGATATTGCTGCCAGGAAAATATGGTTTTGGAGGAACGAGCTTATTGGCAAGTAATTTAAATCCGTTTATAAACATACCAGCCCATGGCTCCAGGTATACATCATCTCTCATGTGCATAGCAGTTTGCACTTTACTGCTAAACAGTTCCACACAGCCCCAATTTTCTTCTCTCTGACCTACGATGACCTTTTAAATGTCTCTTGAGGGTTTAATAAGAGCCAGACACTGTCTACAATTATAAAAAGAGGATTCTGAACATCTATTTAGTAAGTTATTGTGGATAATTCAACATACGACTGTTAAAACTAATCTTCAAGAAGAAGATGAGACTGGGGTTGTGGCTCAGCAGTAGAGCGCTCGCCTAGCATGTGCGAGGCCACGGGTTTGATCCTCAGCACCACAATCAATCAATCAATCAATCAATCAATGTATTGTGTACAACTACAACTAAAAAATAAATATTAAAAAAATGTTTAAAAAAAGAAGATAGCTCTGTCAGCCATATCACTGATAATTCTGCCTCATTCAGTATTATCAGTGGTACAGATAAAGGAGATAAAGGAGCAGACAGTAAAAGACAATGGGAAATCTGTGGTCAGGGTTCAAAACTGATTCTACCTCAAAATCATTATGAATCTTTGCCAAGATATGTTCTTCCTGGAAATCAGATTGTCCAGCTTTTCCTTTAGCATTGTGTGAAACATAAAACCAGTTCATTGCTTTGTATGTATTAACTACTTGTAAATATGCAAAGCCATTAGAATAGCAGCACATGCAGTAGAAAATGCTCAGTAAATATAAGGTATTATTACAATTAAGACTTCTAAACTACTGCTCAGAAAACAAAAACAAAAACATGGCATTCTAAAACAACATCACACACATTTTTTGGTTGTTGTCATTCAATAGCCATGCTACAAAACATTATTCTGGAAAGGTCAGAATCATTCTTTCTGTTGGGCTGGCGTCATGTTCTTGATTGCACTCCCCATCTTTCTGTACCCTAGACCACCACGATCCAAGTCTCTCTGAGTTCTTACCATTTTTGCAGATGCTGACATTCAACACTCCTGACCCCAAGCACTTTCCTTCAGGTAGACAGAAGCCGGCATTGTCTGAGGTATTGGCTAATATTTCTGCAGGCACCTTATACCGGAAGGCGGGCAGTCCCTGTACACTCTCAAAGTCACTGAAAGTTATGTACACTGACCTGTTAGGGTGTAAGAATAAAAAGTCAGTGTGGGCTCTAGTCAGCATGATCTGCCCAGAATGGGTAAGTGAGCAATAGTTCTCAGGGACTACACAGCCCAAAGCTATGGGTAAGTGGAAAATAAAGATGCAAAAGAATGATTGAAAGGTGTTCGGTCAACTCACTGTGAAATAAAGTAGGTCGATTGTAATGAAAGATGTTGAAGAGGTGGAAACTATGGTAATATCCAAAGAGGCCAGGGAAAACAGAATGTGGGGTAAAAAATTAAAAAGATAACATAAGCAGAGTGTGGTAGCACACACCTGCAGTCCAACCTCTTGGGAGGTTGAGGCAGCAGAGAGAGACCCCATGTCAAAAAGAAGAAGAGATGCAGGAAAAGAAGGAAGACATCTGGAATGGAGACATTCCAAATAAAATAAATAAAAGAGTCCTCTAGACCAGCATGGACAGATGCCAGTGTGGTGACCCCAAGCAGAGAAGGTGGCACCAAGTGTAAGACCCAAGCAAAGCACAAGGGGAAAAGGCAGCCAAAGACTTGGCCAGGTAGAGTCTTAGGAACTTGAAAAGTGCCACATCAGGGAGATATTTGATTTCAGAACATAGAGTCTTGAACCATATAATGACATTTCAGTGGGTGATGGACCACATATGGGACAGTGGTCCCATAGGGTACTGCCTAGTGACATCAGTGCCCTATGAGTTTGTGAGTATATTTTATGATGTTCACACAATGATGAAATCACCTAATGACATATTTTTTTGAACATTTTCCTGTCATTAAACGATGCATGACTGCACTTTGATACCCATTTCCCCAAATAAAGAGTTTCCATGTTTTGTCCCAATCATTCATTTAAATAGAGTTCAATATTATCCGCCTTCCTAAATGTTTCAAATGCAGTTCCACCTATTATTATACCACCCCCTCCCCTTACATCTGCATGGGGCCTGATGGACACAGCACATTCACATACACCGCCCCCACTGATCCTCCAGCTCTTCATTTGAAGATGAGGGGAATAGATTCCCGGGCCTCACTTTTTCATCTTGGAACCAGACATTGATGCATCTTTGCAAGGTTGTGAATCACATGAGAGAGGCCTTCCACTGTACATCCTAGCCCAGGGCATTTTTTAATAAAATATTTTAAGCAAACAGAGAAAGAGTATAGAAAATACCTTTATACCCACTTCTTAGGTAAGTAAAAAACTATATTATGGATACCACTGATGCTCTCTATATAATGTTTTGGTTTCATTCTTTCTCTTCCTCCCCTGAGGAAATCACTCTCTTGAATCTGGGGTTTGTCATTCCATTCAAGTCTTTTACTTTCACATATTTGTGTATTCACAGACTATGTCATTGTTGATTTTTAGAAATATAAACAATACCCCAAATTCTCTTTCTGTAATTTGCTTCATTTGACATTATATTTTAAAATTTTATTATATTAACAATAATGTACATATATCCTGGTTCTTTTATTTTAAATCCTATAAGATATTCCATCATATGAATACACCACAACTTATTTACATTCTCCCTTTTCATAAGCACAGATTGGGTTCTAATTTTTCACTAGGATAGTCCATATTGCAATGAACTTCCTTTCTGTGTTTCCTTGCATGCAGATACAAGAGTTCATGCCTGGAACCATCTAGTAGAGAATTACAGAGTCATGAGTTTGTACCTCTTTGTTTTACTAATCTTTACCAAAATGGTTCTCCAAAGCCAGTTACGCCAGACAAGAATATGTTTCCTCTGTCCCCAATCTTTTTTTTTTAAGCTTTGAGTATTTATTAAAAGACTTATTTAATTTATTTTAAAAACACTAACTATACATTTAACTTATTTAATTATACATTCATGTAATTTAATTTTTAATTATATCTATATTTATCAACAGAGTCACAAAACTTCCCCAAATTCAACTGGTCTGTCAGAACAAGCCAGCTCTAGTATCTATGTCCCATAAAGTCCTTAATAAAGGGAAAAAGGAGTATCAGCAAACCAAAGTCTGGTTCAGGATACTGAGTACATGAAGGGTAGGGTTTACATTTTTTAAAATTTATTTTTCCATATTTTTATCGGTGCATTATGGTTGTATATAATGGTGGGGTTGATACAAGCACACAATATTACAATATAATTGGCCAATATAATTTCCCAGTGTTTCCCATTTCCCTCCTTTCCTCCTTCTCCTAGTCTGTCCCTCTCCTCTACTCAACTGGTCTCCTTTGATTTTCATGAGATCCCTGCCCCTCACCTTTCTTCTCTCTAGTTTCCACATATGAGAGAAAACACAACTCTTGACCTTCTGAATTTGACTCATCTCAAATGGTCTAAAGATCCATCTATTTTCCTGCAAATGACATAATTTCATTCTTCTTTAAGGCAGAATAAAACTCGATTTTGTATATATACCACATTTTCTTTATCCTTGCCTATGGTGACACACTCCTTGGATGCATAGTTTGGCTACCATGAAAGGTGCTGCTATAAACCTGGGTAAGCATGCATCACTACAGTATGATGTCTGTCCCAAACCTTTGAAACTTCCTCTGGCCCTTCTGAGTTCCTCTGTTCTACACTGCACTCAAACATCTCCTCTTTCCCTCCTTCCATAGGTATTTACTAAAGAGAGTGGTTAGATAGAAGGTGAGTGTGATGTTCTATAGGAGAGATGGCAAGGATCCAAAAGGGTCCAAACTGTGGGCACAGGGAGCAGGGATGGAGAGGCAGGATGAATCCAAGTGCCACCTCTGAGGGTGGACTGATATCACGTGGTGCCTGCATAAGTGTAATACAGGAGGGAGATGGACAGGTCTGCAGGCCAAGAACTCTGGGGTGTGGCTGATGGCAGGTGGTGCAGTCGTGGGAGACAGGAAACCCTGGCAGAACAGCAGTGTAGAGAAGTGTGAGAGCAACGAATCACAGTGTGAAATGCTACAGGTTCCTTCTGCCTGGAGGAGAAGTTTCACAGGAAGCCCCAAAGGAGTTGGTAAGCAGGAAGTTAGAGGAAGCAGGGGTTGGCTGTTCCAGAAGTCTGAGAATAGAAGCAGAGGTGGCATGACAGAAGAGCAGGGTCAGGGTGGAGAGGATGAGGCCAGGGAAAACAGAATGTGTGGTTAAAAATTAAAAAGATAACGTAAGCAGAGTGTGGTAGCACACACCTGCAGTCCAGCCACTTGGGAGGCTGAGGCAGCATAGAAAGACCCCGTGTCAAAAAGAAGAGATGGAGGAAAAGAAGGCAGACATTTGGAATGGAGACATATTTAAAAATAAATAAATAAATCAGTCCTCTAGACCAGCATGGACAGATGCCAGTGTGGTGACCACAAGCAGAGAAGGTGACACCAAGTGTAAGACCCCAGCAAAGCACAAGTGGAAAAGATGGGGTTGGGGTCCTGGCTCAGTGGGTAGAGCACTTGCCTGGCATGTGTGAGGCACTGGGTTTGATTCTCAGCACCACATATAAATAAATGAATAAAATAAAGGTTCATTAACAACTAAAAAAAATGTATTAAAAAAACTATATTGAGATTCCATCTTACTTCAGTCAGAATGGCAATTAGGAAGAATACAAATAATAATAAATGTTGGCAAGGATGTGGGGGAAAAGGTACACTCATACATTGCTGGTGGGACTGCAAATTGTTATAACCATCCTCAAAAGCAGTATGGAGATTCCGCAGAAACCTACAATGCAACCACCATTTGACCCAGTTATCCCACTTCTCGGCATATACCCAAAGGACTTAAAATCAGCATACTATAGTGATGCAGCCAAATCAACTTTTTACAGAAGCTCAATTCACAGTAGCTAAACTATGTAACCAAGTGCCTTTCAGCAGATGAACGATAAAGAAAATGTGGTAAATATATACAATGGACTATGACTCAGTCTTAAAGAAGAATGGAATTTTGGTATTTGTCAATAAATGCATGGAACTGGAGGCTATCATGCTAAGTGAAATAAGCCAATCCCCCAAAACCAAAGGTCCAGTGTTCTCTCTGATATGTGGATGCCAACGCACAATAAGGGGTAAGGGGATAGACGTTCACTGGATTAGACAAAGGGGACTAAAGGGAAGGGAGAGGGATGGGAGTAGGAAAGACAGTAGAGTTAGTTGGACATAATTTTCCTATGTTCACATATGAATATGTGATCGGTGAAACACCACATCATGTATAACCACAAGAATGGGAAAGTGTACTCCATGTATGTATGTCAAAATACTCTCTACTGTCATGTATATATAAAAAGAACAAATAAAAAAATAATTGGAAAAAAACCCAAACAGGCTCTGGAGTCTGTGCTCTCTCTCAATGTGCCAACAGCATTTATCACTATTAGGCATAATAAGTACATTTGCACACATTCCTCATGCTTTAGGTGTTCTTGTAGTAAAAATCCGTAGTTTTAAAAAATAGAACTCATTTTTAAAGTTCTTACCTGCAGAAATCAGATGGGAAGACATAAAGGACTTCATCTTTGGTTATTAATGGATGAAAAGAATCTCCATCTGTCCCATTAATCATATTGCATTCGTCCGTTGCCCACCAGTTAAGTGACCTACAATTGATAAGCACGAGAAAGAGTCATGATGATCAAAATGGAATATAGATCCTTTTAAATGGTCAAGACTTTCCATGATGGAATCGGAGGTGGCTATATTCATACACAGACACAGAGTCCTAGGGATTAGGAGAGGAGAAAAAGTAGGTCCTGGACCTCAAATCCATCTTAATAACATAAAAGCTCCAAAGCCTTATTTTCTTCTTCCAAACTGTGTATCCTACATAAAGATTTAGGAATATTGATTTACTTAAAGCAGTAACCCAATTTAACATTAATAATGCCTTGTCCACAGCCAGCCCAGGCCACAGACAGACTCTGAATAGACATATCTGGCTCTATAATATTCATGACAGAGTCAATGCATCTTCTGAATACTACTCTCTTCCAAAAATAATGGAGGACTTCTCTTGAATCACAAGAAATACTGAAATGACTTTATGCTAACTGAAAGCGCAGTTGAGATAGCATGTTTTTTTTAAAAAAACAGTTTTTAGCCATGTGTGGTGGCACATGCCTATACTTTCAGCAATTCAGGAGGCTGAGGCAGGAGGATCACAAATGTGAGGCCAACCTTAGCAACATAATGTCTAAACAAACAAACAAACAAACAAATGAAGGAGGATGTAGCTCAGTGGTAAAGCACCATTGGGTTCAATTCCCAGCACCAAACACACACACACACACACACACACACACACACACACGTTTGTATGTATATTTTAAACTAATGATACATCAATGGAATAAATACTTATGTCCGCTCCAAATTCAAGTGTTGAAATGCTAATCCCCAAGGTGATAGTAATAGGATCTTTGGGAGGTAAACAGATCACAAAAGCAGAGCCCTGATGAATGACATTAGTGCCCTTATTAAAGAGAAGCCAGTGACTCCCTTCCCCTTCCCATGTGAAGTTACAGTGAGAAGAAAGTCACCATGAGGAACTGAGCCCTCGCCAGTCACGAGTCAGCCAGGGCCTTGATCCTGGACTTCCCAGCATCCAAAATTGTTAGGAATAAACTTCCAGTTTCTGTGCTGCTCAGTCTATGATACTTTGTTTTAGTGGTTTGAAGGGACTAAAACAGTTCAAAATACAAAAGAAAGGAAAGGGCAGGGCAGGCAATACATAGTAATTTCCCCAATTTCAGTTCAAGATGACACTTTAAGTTCAAGAACTTGGGGCTTTTCCCAAGTCCAAGTAAAGTTGTGGGTGATAAAACATGAAAGGAGAATATCTGGAAAGTCTATACTAGAATTCAAACTTCTCCTTAGATATGGTAGAGATGAGAGATGCCAAGTGGTGAGTAGGTCTAAAGACATTTGGTGGCAGATTTGAAAGCAAGGAGAAAGAACTAGAAGTTCCACCTTGAAGTTAATAAAGATTAAAAGTGGTCCACCACGGGTTTGAAATCAGGGTCTAATGGGCAGAGATCAAAGAGGCCAAAGAGCCGGGCACGGTGGCAGTCCTGTAATGCCAATGACTTGGGAAGGCTGAGGCAAGAGGATTGCAAGTTTGAGGCCAGTCCAGGGAACTTAGAGAAATACTGTCTCAACATTTTAAAGCCATACGAAGGTCTGGGGTTGTAGTTCTGTGATAGAGCACAACTGGGTTCAGTCTCCAATACTGAGAAAAAAAGAAGCAGCCAAAGAGCAGGGTGTAGTGGTGCACCTCTGGAATCCAGCTGTTTGGGAAGCTGAAGCAGGAGGATAACAAGTTCGAGGCCAGGCTGGGCACTTAGCAAGATCCTATCTCAAGATAAAAAATAAAATAAAATGAATGGCTGAGGGTGAGCATGTGGCAGAGCTGTTGTATTTCACTGGCTACTCAGAATCTCCCTGTCCCCTCCTCTGGGCTTGTGACCCCACCTTGAGGAAACCCCTTTGTCCTCCAGTTCAGAAGGCCTAACTCCCCTAGAGCTCTTGTCCCTGCCTGCTGGGTTCCTGCTTCAGCCTGGTGCCCCGGCAGACAATGACCTCCCCTACCTGTGAGGCAGCACCATGGGTGAGGAGCCTGCCCCTGGCAGACAGCTCTGGTCCCCAGGTGTGATGGGGCACACAAAGGGGGCTCTACAAGCTCAGTGCCCTTGGAGCCTTCTCCACTGGCCCCTAGAATGGTCTGGATGAGCCCCCTCTTCAGATGTCTGCCAGAAGCTGCACTAGGGCACTGTGTGCCCTCCAGCCCATGCAACACCCTCTTCCCCTCTCCCGAGGCCTCCCAGCACTTGGGTCTGTCTCCCTCTGTAGTTTGGGGTGAGGTGAGTGGAGGTGACATGTCCATAGTGTCCCCTGTAGAACAGGCAATGTAAACCACACTTGGCCCCAGCCCAGGTCTGGGCCTTGTGCTATTGATGGCATTCCTTGGGTCCAAGCATGGATGGCCCATCAGAGCAGAGAGTGCCATCAGAAAGCAGAGGTGAGCTGTGTCCTCCCACCCGACGACAGTCCCCCATTTGTTCAAGTTGTCAGAAAGGTCTCTGTGATGCCTGTCTCATTCCCCTGTTTCGAAGGTCCCTTTGTTGGGGGTTTCCTGCAGGACAATAAAGAGTTATTGAATCAAAAAAAAAAAAAAAGGAGGGGGG